CCTGCATTGAGTCTAAAAAATGGAAGTTAACCATTATGGCTGGTAACTTTTCGTATCTAAAGTTATTCTTTCAGGTTATCATGAACAAATGCCAAAGAAAGTCACTATGAGAAAAAGTAAGCACTGATTTTCACTAGAACCTGTTTTACCATTTGATTAAATGTTTATGTTGTTTGAAAAAAAAAACAAAAACAAAATACAAAACTAAATGGACACCAGCTTAATGTCTAGGTTAAATGTGGGATTTTTTTGTTTGTTTGTTTTTAAAACTGTTGTAATAAATTAATTTATGAGTACCGTGTTTGATTTTGCACAACTTCAATTGTCACACAGACAATTTATTCCATGGAAAACCAACCTAGCTCTTCTGATTGGGTTTAAAACACATCAACAGTTTTACTATGTTTTATAAAACTAGAGGAAAGGGAATGAAAAAGCTGTTGTAAAATAGCAACAGTTTTCCAATGTTTATATAAAAACAACAGCAACAGATTTACAATTACTCATATGCTTTCAGCTAGCAAGTTAACCTGTTAGTTTTACTGAACAGCAATGTATTAAAACAGGCTGGTGTAATAATCTTCATTCAGATGTCTCAAAAATGTCGATGCTATGGATATGTCTTGGAAACCCTCTACATAAACACAATAATTTCATAACACTCAAAAACCAAAATGACACAAGGAAACGTACCACTTATTGTGATAAATGCCTAAGGTTTTTTTTGTTTGTTTGTTTGTTTTGGTTTTGGTTTTTCTTTTTCACGTGAATCCCTAATCTGACATTCTTCTCGTTAGATTTTAATTGGGAAGTCACATTTCCAAATGAAGTTGCTTTATTATGCTCATAAATCTGCACAGAAAAAAAAATATGCTTTACTGCAAGCATTTCAAATAGCTAATAGAATCCACGATGTCCCAATTATGGACTTGCAGTTTTGTCACTAAAGTACAGTTAGCTTCTGTGGTCTGGAAAACTGCTTGACGGAGCAGCAAATACCGCAAATACAAAAGAACACCTTCTGCCATACTCATGCCATTCTCCTGTTTGCAAAGGATGCTCTTACTCTTCCCCTCCTTCCATTTCCAATCTCCCGATGGTTTGCAAAAACCTCTACCACCACAGCTCACCTACTATGGGAAGAAGTACCTAATTCACCCAAGTTACAAAGCACAGTCAACCTCCACAGCCTTAGTGAGCAGAAAATCCATGCTGCTGTCACATAGTCTCTGCATAACCAAGAAAAATACGGATTTCTGCTAAGTAAAAGGAGTGAAACCAGGAAGACTATTTGTCAAATGTGTAGCAGGTGTTTGTACTGGTAAACTACACAGAAATGAGCAACAAAAAAGAACATGCTGGTCACGATTTGTATTAAGATTTAACTCATGGATGGCTCATAAAGATTACTAATAGATGTTAGAAGTGCGTTATACATCATTCATCTCTTCACACTAGGCACATGAGCAGAGAATGTTATATGGCATCCTATCCACCTACCAAAAACATACTGGAAGCTTTATAAATAACTTAATGAATGTTCGATTACCTCTAATTACGTTAAAGCACACCTAAACTATTAAGTAAAAATGAAGCTACAGGATGAAACAAACCGGTTCCGTAGATAGAAAGTAAAACTTCTTTTTTTAAGAAAGTTTTCTGAACCACAGCAAAAATATATAAAATAAAGTCAGGGTTGTTAGAAGAACGTCTAGATATTTGACTTTCTTTACACCATTTAATGCTTATGCTGTATCATATAACTGAAGGTTAGAAATAAACAGTGAAAAAGGAAGATTTAGACATTTGAGTTGGGAATACAAAAAAAATCTTGTATAAAAGCATCAGTTCTTAATGCAAACGTATCTATTTTCATTTTCTAAGCTAAGATCTTTATTGCTCTTGCCTATATCTACATGTTTATCTTTTTTTAAAACTTACAGATTTCTCATTATTTTAAAAAATGGGTTTTGAACCTCTTAATCTCATTCCAGTATTTTTTTAATGCTTTATTTCTAAAAAATCCCTTATTATTCCATTGGATCATAATGGAGAGTAGGCTTCCAAAATTATTCAAATTCTACTATTATTTCTAGGATAGAAAGCAGCAAATATATAGTTAATTTATTTTTTTTACTTAAACACTTGAAGAATTACTTATATTACATAGGTTTAGCTACCTGAGACACATTTCTGTATAAAAATTGTAAGCAAGTGCATTAGGTAAAAGAAAAATTGTATGACACATGCAGACAATAAATAGATAACTTCACAAATTATTGGAAATGAATGTAAAAACTTACCCAAAATAATTCAATAATTTCTACAGATGGCAATGAAGAAAAAGAAAATCTGATCCAAAATATAAAGAACACAGCCGTCTGTTAACAGAGAATAATTTATTTTTAAAATATTGAAATATATAAATGTGGATTTATATAAATAAAACAGATTGAATTCTGGAAGAGTATCCTTCAAAACTAGTGGTTACGTTGAAAATAATACTTAATAATCACAAGATGAAGATCAAAACATTTTGACTATTAATTGCATTGTTTAATTACACCAATTTCCACATAAATCAATACTACTGAGTGCAAAAACTGTAAAATATATTTCAAGAGTCAGCTTGGAGTCCAATCTGTGCATACTCAAGTTCCATTACTTCTTTTGCACTTTTTTTTTTCCATTTACACAGCTCTTCATCTGAAAGCACTACATAAGCGATATATATTAATAAAACATGGGGAATTAATTAAAGAATTTTTAAAGAATTACACGAACATCTCGCCATCTCAGAAAAATAGAAGATGAAACAGTGGGAAGAAAACTATGAGACAGTAACAACTGGGAGGAAATCCGCATATTGTAACAAAATTGATCAGGAAAAACGGTGTTAAATTTTGAGTGAAAATATCCAAAACATTGAAAAGGTGTTAAGACTAATAAATCAACAAAAAGAAATCAAATACATCACAGCTCTTGAAGATAAAGAACACACAGATTTGGAAGAATGGGATGCAGAAACTCAAACACTGTATGTTCATAGATTCCTGCAGTGACAACAATCTGAAGATGATGACATGAGCTAAGTGCAATAGGAATGCAACCAAGAACCAACATTTCCTGGCATGAACGCCAGAAAGGTTTCTATCCAGAAGCAGAGGATTTTAAAAACTAATAAATATCAGGGAAAAAAAAAAAAAGTGTTAAAACAGATGGAGAAGAAGGAAGCATCTCACATTTCTCTCATTTAGTTTAGTGCAGTTAGATTTTGCTTGGAAGATATAAAAGCCTAGCAAATATAAAACAAATTTAAGCCAAGAAAAAAAAAGAAATTGCAGAATTGTTACATTTTGCTATGAAAATTACACCACATTCGCAAAAGGCAAAACTTTAACATATCTTCAGTTAAGTCAGCACAAAAGACAGTTTGGTTTAAGACTGCACATTCTGGGACTAATTATACAGCAACAGATTTAAAATAAAGTGATATACACATCTCTGACTAATCAATTTCAGCACTAGGTATGTTATCTTCATTAACAAATAATCCAAGGAGCACAAGCTTGGACAGAAAAGGACAGAGTATGAAAACAGAGCCTTACCTACAGAAGAAATTCCAATTAGCTTAACTGAAATCCATTAAACCAATATAATCTGCCACATTGACAAGCAAATCAGTTTACAGCATGCTTACATTGATTTAGCTGAAAATTGGTATGGAATCAACTTAAAATGAACTCGTTAGACCACGTGGAAATTACCTTAAGCGGGTCCACACCAACTTTTATGTAAATTTATATCTTAAATAATCTTAAATGGTGATAATTGAGTCTGTACAATGTCTGGGTGCAAAAAAAAAGGTTAGAGCCACTAGTGTAAAGCATCTTAGGATGCTCTGGAAATATGTTTTGAAACTAGGGGCCCTTCTCCGCAACAGGCTTCTCTGTGCTTCACAGCAAGCCAGAGCCCAGCCTTGCTTGCAGCTATTTAGCTTTGCAATTCACCCCCAGCACAGAACTTGGGTACAAACTTCATCTGTGGCAAAAGCGTATGGTTAATAACGGGTGCGAGTCAGGAACAGTGTTGAGGAGTTTGGTATTTAAAACAAAACTGAGCGTAACTATACCTTTCCAACTCTGACACGGCGGGTTTCTGCACGCCACGAGCTGCCAGAGGTTCAGCTAAAGTCTCGGCCAAGCCCCGGGAAGCCTGGAATTGTGGCACAAGGGACAGTTAGCGGCGAAAAGTGCTAAAAAACCAGCACGCGAGCATAAACACCTCAGCCTCACACCCGCCGCCCTGCAGGAGCGCCTTGCTGCTCCCCGAGGGGGAACTGCCGGATTAAAAACCAGCCTGCGGGATTAAAACCCGAACCGCCTCGGAAACCCGGGCTGGGATTAACGCTTAATCCCGCCGCCAAGCGTTGGGGACGAGCGAGTTTGGGCGGAATTAGGGGATAAACGCCCTGAGGAGCCCCGTGGGCGAAAAACACCCGCTTGTGCCGCCGCCGGGCACGGACAGCAGGCTGGATCCTGCCCCCCTCCCCACACAAAGCACGACCACGCCGTTTTTTTTGACGGATTTTATTATTTTAACGCCCCGCAGCCCGGTGAGGGCTGTGAGGGGAGGGGGGGGGGGGCGCTGAGGTGACTGAGGGGAGGGGGGGGGCAGCCCCGGGGGCACTCGCGCGCGCGCCCGTCACCTAGCAACCACCGAAGCCCCGCCGCCTGCGCATGCGCGGTGACCGCGCCCCGCCCTCCTGCCAGGCCGGGCATTTCCCGGCGTGCCTCGCGCACATCTCCGCCCGCTCTGCCCTAACCCCCTGTCCCGCGTCTCTCCAACGCGCATGCGCATCCGCCGCCTTCTGTCCCCCCCTCCGCGGAGCAGCGTCCCCTCAATGAACGAGCCCGGCGGGCCAATCGCATCGGGGGGCTTGGCGCGCGTGCCGCGAGGCACGCTGGGAGTTGTAGTTCTCCTGCGGCATCCACCCGCTGAAGGCGGCGGGGCGCGAGACTACATCCCCCAGGCTGCCGCGCGGGGCGCCGCGCCCCGCCCCGTGCCGCTGTACCTCAGCGCGGCGCTGCCGGCGGTCGCAGTCGCGTCGTAGAGGTGACCTCGAGGTTGCCGGGCCCGCCGCTCCCAGCCATGGTCGGTGCCTCGGGGGACCGTTGGGGGACCGTTGGGGGACCGTTGAAGGGCCGTTGGGGACCGTTGGGGACCGTTGAGGGCCGCTGAGGGGGCCGTTGGGGACCGTTGGGGGCCGTTGAGGGCCGTTGAGGGCCGTTGAGGGGCCGTTGGTTCCCTCAGGCGGAGGTGGCCGTGAGGTGGCGAATCCCCCCAGGCCTGCGGGTTTTGTGTGGCGTCCCCCGGGGCCGCTGCGGCGGTCTCCTGAAGGGGAGATGCCGGCTAGGCGTTTGGCTCTCGGGGCTCGCCGTCAGGGGTCTGGGGGTTCCTGTGGGCTCTGCAAGTCCTCCAGGAGTTTCTCCGGCTCTGCCCTGAGGGTGCATGGATGAAGGGGGGTGCTTGGGTTTGTATGTACGTGCACGCGTCTTGTGCGGAGACCTTGCTTTTCTTTATAATCTGGAAAGTGTTTCTTTTCGCTTTTTCTCCTAGCCATTATACCTTCTCGTTCAAACATTTAATTTTGGTACTTATCTACAAAAAAAGATGTCTAAGTGACCTTTCTAGCTATGTCCTAGAAAGCTATCCTATCTAGCTACATAGATTACATAAGTCTGTAAACTTTGTGTATTCTACCTTTTTACTCATTTATTTATTTATTTATTTTACTCAATATATGGGTTGTCAGGAGTGACCTCAAGTCAAAATGTTGTGTTTTACGCTTCAGCTTTCAAAACGCTGGCTGCCATGAGGTTGTTGGTCTCCTACTTGAAGATGTTCCTTTGGTGCTCAGGCTTTTCAGAATATTGCTCTTTTCATTCTTTCAGTGTTCTAGTTATACTTCTGCTGTTGGGCAGAGGCTCCCAACCTCTGAAACAAAATCTCCTGTCTATTGATGTGACTGTTGTTAGCTAAATGAAACGGAAAGATGTTTTTAAGGGCACCTTCCTGAAGGTCACTTGGGAAGGAAAGAATTCCTTTGGAACTCTCTGTGAACCACAGCGCTGCTGGGTTACTAAAGTACACGGCTGTCTTGATTCCTTCTGCAGCATTTCCAGACAGATTTATTGTGATTGCCTCCCTGCTGCGGCACAAAGGGAGGCCCCACGTTTCTGAGGCAGTGCAGTTAGTTAAGCTCACTGGTAGATTTGGAGCATTCTTGTCAAGCAAGGTGGGAGAGCTTCGTTGGCATTGACAGGAAAAACGTTAAGTTGATGGCGTGTTACAGGCAGTCAAGTGTAGCAGCAATAATGCTTATTCAGTTCTTTTGTAATTGCAATTAGTAATGCAAAGTCCACAAGTTGTGTAAACAGGCCATAGATGTTTCTCGTTCCCACATCTGGCATATAGTGAGCTATTTAATATTGCTCTTTAACCAAACTTTGTAACCTGCTGATCAGTTTTGCAGTGTAGTGCTATTGTCATGTATGGCACTGATATTTTAGGTCTGCTGATATCAGCAGTAATCACAAAGATAATGTAGGCATGGAGTTTTTAAGCCAAAGTTGGATTGGGAGAGGTGTTAAACCCACAGTTCAATCATTTGGTGACAGAATCTTCACTTCTGCATGTGAAGATTTGGAGGTGGGGGGATCCTACACAATTGTTGAACTAGAACATTTGGATAAACGTATCTAGGGTTGCAGTATTTACACTTTTCTGCTTCCTTTTTGTGATTGTTCTCTTCCTGTTTCTTAAAACTCTTAAATTACATGTCTGACTTACGCAGAGTGGAAAAAAACTTGGAATTAAATAGCTCAGTTAGATTTGTTATATTTTTTTTTCTCTAGCTCATGTCTACCTGAGAGCGAATAAAGGTCACCTCTGCAGTTACCAAAGCATGAAAGTATTCTTGTCGGAGCCCAGCGCAGGAGCCAAGTCACGGATTAAAGTGCCTGAACACAAATGTGTGGCACCTACAACTGCCACGCAGAGAAGCTGTCAGCTCGAGAGCTGCATACTTCTCTAAGCTCCCTACCCCAAAAGTAGCCTCAGATGCTCAGTGCTACCAGTTCTTAGATGTGATGCGGTATAAGTTTTCTAGGAAGAGTTAACTACGTTTTGCTTTTGTAAGAAACACACTTCTGGCTTGCTAATCCAGCTTCCGAAATCGAGAGAGCATGAACATTACTTTGCTTACCACTCGGAGAGTTTCTATGTGAATCCAGTGTACTGAGGGCTTGGAGAGAAAAAACTGAATAGGCAATACTCCTCACTTTGTTAGCTGTCACATTTCTTCCAGCCCAAAATAGAGGGAGGACAACAGGAAGGATGGTAGCAAACATTATTTTTTGAGAGGGTGGATCTGCGTCAGATTGAGGGTTTTTAACAAGGCTAAATGCTAAGTCTGTCTCAGGAAAAAATAGACCTATCTCTGGCATTTTTTATCTTCCTGTTCCGTTGCTGTGCTAAATATGCAGCATAATGTTAGTGGATTTATTGAATTTTTTTATGTTTAAATCCCATTAACATATAAAGTGGAAAGTATATAGTGGAAAAAACTCTTGTTGAATTTGTTCACCTTTTGTGACACCAGTGTAGATTGGCTCACAGTTTGCGAAGGAGAAAGAGCCCAACTTCTTAGTCTTCTATTTAAGTAGAAATTCTCATGGAAATTCATTGTTGATTTAAGCTACCATGTAACACCAAGAAAATGCCTTCTGTGGGTTTCACCCTGAGTTCTGGCATAGCAAGTGTAATGCAGGATATGTTTTTATGTGCTACTGAGACAGGATTTTACCGGGCCGAGTTCTTGCAAAACAGTAATTTTTCCAGTACATGTTTTCTAAACTAATATGATTAGCTGCCCTAAAATGGCATTCATTGTTCCGTTTGCTTAAATAAAATGTAGGTTCTCCTGAAAAATACCTGGAAATGTTGACTGCTAAACCTGCTTAGTCTGTGCTGCCCATCATCATTCAGATGTTATAGTATATTTGTAGGGTGTAACTTAACTACTTCAGAGCAGTGCACTGAAATGCATTTTGAGATTTTAAAATGAGAAGAATTGGTTTTCTCTTCCTTCCTCTCTCTTTACCTCATTTTGGTGAGGTTTGAGGCTCCCAGTAGGGCAGGTTCAAAAGAAATCAATGCAGTTCAACACCGTAGCTGGCAGCTATTTAATTAAATATTTGAAGAGTTTAATGTATGACAAGGGTGAAGTCACATTGCGTTCTGCATCTGTGTGTTCGGTAGTAGTAACTTCATCACTTCTGCTCTCATTTTATCTGTTATGGGGCAGAATGGGATGGCTTCTGGGTGGCCTCATTTTTGTGGTTATCTAATGCTAGCTTGACGCAGCTGTGCTTGGCTGGTAACTACTGCAGGGACTATACACTCAAATCCCCAAATCATCTCCCTATAAGTATTCATAGCAGGAATGCTGTTGGGAAGGATGTCTAGAGGTCATCCAGTCTGACCTCTGCCTTGCTCTGAGTCTGGAGGTTGTCCACTGCAGCCCGATAGCAGATTTTTTTGCTGCTGCTAAACTGGGCCTTGCATGGCTTTTTCATCTGAATCTTGAAAAGCACCAAGGGTGAAGTTTGCAGAAGCTCTCAGGGTACCTTGTTCCAGTGCAGCAGTACCCCCCAAACCAAGAATTTTTCTCTTGATGTCCACGCTGAACCTTCTAAGCTGCAATTTGTGGCCTCCTTTTCTGCCATCTGCCATTACCAAGAAGCATTTGGCAGCGTTATTTTTGTAACCCTCCTCAAAGCAATGCTAGGCTGCTGTTGGAGCACCCCGTGTCCTCTACCTTTCCAGACTATGTGCAGCTTCCTCAGCATCATCTTACAGCACGTGAGCGCTGGGCTCCAGCCATCCAAGTCACGCTTGCTTGGACCCTGTCTGGTTTTCAGCATCCCTCTAAAATTCAGGGCCCCCCAAACTGGATTTGGTATTTTAGCTGCAGCTTCCCCAGAAACAACTGCCTGTAGTCTGCAAGCTGTACTTTGTAATGTAACCCAGCATGCAACTAAATCACTTCAGGCATAATTAAATGTGTAAAGTGATTTGCCTGTAACTCAAACAATCATCTTTTAATTATTTGAAAAAAAATAAAATATTAAGTGTGTAATTCCAGCAGACTGGTCAGAGTCTGCTTGTTCCTGTCTTAGCACAGCCTACCCCAGCTGTAATGCCTCTAGAGAAGAAGGAAGATGCAAAAAGCAGATTTAAAGAATATCAGATTATGAGCAACAGCCTTTGGCACGTTTTGCCTTTTCAGTATTAACTAGCCTCTGGAGTTCCCAGCGTCCTGGTTCTGATTAACAAAATGGACTTTTGCTGCTGAGTAAGCCTTCTGGGTGTTTTTTTGTTAGTTACAATATAGCAGTGTGTTGGCACAGTGTTCTTGGAGTTTTTGGTTACTTTGATAATGGACAGTTATACCATGGTATATTAGCTTCTTTATTTGTCCATAATGTAGCTTTTGTCTGTGGATTTGTTAATTGCTGCATCACAGTTTACAGAGGTGTTAGTTTTAAGTCCAACAGATCCCTTGGCTTATGGCATTCAGCAAGTCTTTGGTTGCAACTAAGCATTCAAAATGCTTAATAAAATCAACCCTCAGTATTGTAAGAATCTGAAAACTGGCAGAGTGCAACAGCTTATGAAACTTCTGCAGTGAGGTTAAAGCATAAGTGGGTAGTCTAATGAGTGGGCACGTGTTGCAAACACCTTATGCTAAAAAATATAACACTGTTAAAAGGCATGCAGAGTTTTTCAGATTGTTATTCCTGGCGTTTTAGGAGCTCTTCCAAGAGCATTTCTTCTTGGGGATATTTTTGAAAGTGTGGTTTGGTTCTGTAAAGGCAGGTAGAGAAGTTGCTGGTGGTTCCAGTGTGACTCCAGGAGCTGGCCTTGGTCCACATTTGGGCACACGATTTTGGTTAAATAATCTTAACCTTATTTCTGTAGTAACTTAATTTTTACTGCTCAGGGGTGGTGTGAGCCTGCACTGTGTGGCTGTGGTTAAGTCTTCCCAACTTTCTTCCAGGGTGAACCTATCAGAGTCCTGGTGACTGGTGCCGCTGGGCAGATTGCTTACTCGCTGCTCTACAGTATTGCCAAGGGAGATGTCTTTGGCAAAGAACAGGTAAATGTCAACTGAATTTTCGCTTCTCTCTGCTGTGCACTAATGAATAATGTCAAAACTGCAGAGTTCTGCAGGCAGAGCTGTCAGAGGCTTTTTTTTTTTGTAGGCACTCTGTTTTACCAATACGTTAGCAGTTTATTCTGTAGGAAATAAGAGTCCTGCTCTGTTAGGCAAGCTTATATAGTTGTTTGTGGTGAAGTTTTTCAGCTTGTGTAAATGGATTTGAAGTTGATAATCCCTTGCAGTAGATAATTTATCCTGTTATCTGCTACAAACTTAATCTTCATAACAGATTGACTCTGACCAATTCATATTCAATTGTTCCTTTACAGCCGCTTGTGCTCGTGCTGCTGGATATCACCCCCATGATGACTGTTCTGGAAGGTGTAGTGATGGAGCTGCAAGACTGTGCCCTGCCGCTGCTGAGAGGTGGACAAAACAAGTTTTTCTTACATTTTCTTATATTTACAAGATGTTCTAACATAGCTACTGGATTTATAAGTTTCTTTAAATTGTGATAACTGAAGAAATATTTGGATGATCCTTTTCTTGGTTTTGTATTTTGTGGAAGTTAAATTCATTTGACCTAGGCTGCATGCTAGAAAGAATGTCAGGAAGTGCATAAATTGACTAAGTAGATATGAGTTTTGGTTTACATAATCTAAACCTCAGTAGTTAGCGTGTACAACAGATCGTCAGTAACCTCTACATTTACATTGTATTCTGGCCTAGAGGTGAAATAACTTTTGAATATTTGGCTATGGCTACATGCTTCTACCAAATGAAAAACCTATTCTTTAGAAATACCTTTACAAAGATACAAACTGAGAAATTGCTCCTCAAGTCACATAAGCAAGTTCATCTGTTCTAAACAAGCAGAAGAAAGGGAGCCAATAGATGCTACAGTAATTATTGCAGTACTTATTTGAAGAACATGCACCTTCCAGCTCTTGTACAAAACAAACCTTCTTCAGTTTGAATTGTTGTTAAAGGTAAAGGAAAACCTCATTTATGTTGGTACTTGGTACTTTACATTGTAAATTATTTTGGCAACAGTGAAGAGCAACGTATATACATACGTGTATATGCATATGTATTTATAAATATGTATACACGTATGTATTTAGAGAGAAACAAAAGGTATCTTTTGATATACATCTTTCTCCTGTGCTTAGAATTTATAGTTTTAAATACTTGTATATAGAAACTGTTGACTAGCATGTATTTAATCTTTGGCTTTAAGGCTAAATGACTGTATTTGTATTTTTGGAAAGGAAAGGTGCTGCTGTTTTCAGATTGCATTAAATATAATTTATGAACCAAGGAATAACCCCATTAATGCTTTGCCATAAGTATTTATCTTACTCAGACTTCTTGTTTTCCCTTTTCCTTTTTTTAGAGGTCATTCCAACAGACAAGGAGGAAGTTGCATTCAAAGACCTTGACATAGCAATTCTGGTTGGCTCCATGCCAAGGAGAGAGGGCATGGAGAGGAAGGATTTACTCAAAGCAAATGTGAAAATTTTCAAGTCTCAGGGTGCAGCTTTGGACAAGTATGCCAAAAAGACTGTCAAGGTAAATACAGAAACTGAATTTTAAAAATTAACTCTTTACTGAGTTACTTAGAGGTCTAAATGCATTGTGAAATGGTACTGTGCAAGTTGGAGCCTACTCAGTGCAGGCATTCCTTTTCTTAAGCTGTGGAGAATATACCACAGTCAAGGTTTGAGATATGATATGTTAAATAGGTAAATTGTTTAGTCCCTAATTCTTTCAGTGGAGAAGGTAAGGCTTACACTGTATTGCTATATTGCACACATACTCTGGAGTGGTTACCAGCAATTCTTAAATGAATAAATAAAAATCTATATTTTAAAAAAGTATTCTGCTTGTTCTCTGTTCTCTGGGAGAACTGTATTATCTGCATGCAGCTGCCTACTTTGTATCTGTCTGTGGCTTTAACGTAATGACCCTTAACTCCAGTGTCAATATGGAATTACAGTTGCACAAAAAATGGCTTTATTTTAGCTGTTTGCAACTTGTTCTTTGGAGCATTGGAAGCTTTTAATTGTTCTCTCTCAGATCGCTTCAGCACAGTTAATGGGATCATGTGGCTGCTCTCCTACTGCTCTTAATCTCAGACCCAGACTCCAACTGTGCTTTGTAACTGACTTTTTAATGTCTACTTCCTCTGCTGATGAACTTCCTACTGCTTCTAAAGACTTGTTTGCTGCTTTATACAGTTGGAATAAAAACTATCAATATAACTATTGCAGAGTAATGGAAAATTTACTGAACTTATTTTCAAAAGGGGGAAATACAAAGGAAGGTTTGTGGATTAGCTTGTGTGATTGAGATTATATGGAGCTGGACGTTAATCATTTGAGGCATATTAGTAGATGAAGGGTGCACAAAAATCAGTTTTCCCATTGTAATAAATCGATCTAAATTCAGGCAATATTTTACTTCTGCCTATGAATGTTGAGATAAGCAACTTTCTAATTAGAAAGCAATTATATAAAGCAGTGACAGCCAGTCTAGGAACAGTTTTTAAGGTGATAGTGAATTTCCTGTTGGCTGACTAGTATCTATATGTCGTGGTTTTTGTGAATCTGGTAGCATGGAATTTGAATCCAGGCTGTGGGTCAGTGTGCAGATCTCTCTGGAAGTCTTGTTCTTTCACATTTGTCAAATTGTAAAGGAAATACCTGCTAGGACTTTTTTCCTGTGTGCATATAAAAGACTCGGTGACTGAACAACAATTACAAAACAATCTTGTTGGAGAAGACCAAGACATGGTTGTGTCAAAGGCAAAGCAGTTCCCTATATACAGTGTTTTTGTATTTCACTTGAAGGAGCTATTTTGCAGAAATAGTATTTCTGACTAAGTACATTTTTTTGATGCTTCATCATTCTACAATTCTCCTTCCCTTTTGTTTTTTTTAAGGTTGTGGTTGTTGGGAATCCAGCAAATACCAACTGCCTGATTGCATCGAAGTCAGCCCCGTCAATACCAAAGGAGAACTTCAGCTGCTTGACTCGCTTGGATCACAACAGAGCTAAATCTCAGGTAAAAGAACATTTTCAAAGTAGAATACTTTCTGTTGTGTCTGCTAAATACAAACAGAGCAGTGCTCTCAAAGAAGTTTGTGAATTGAGAAGTTTAAGCTAATGCAGTGGACATCTCTAATTTCCAATTAGATCGCTCTCAAACTTGGTGTGACTTCTAATGATGTGAAGAATGTCATCATCTGGGGCAACCACTCCTCCACTCAATATCCAGATGTTAACCATGCGAAGGTAAATGTGAAAGGGAAGGAAGTTGGAGTTTATGAAGCGATAAAAGATGACAGCTGGCTGAAGGGAGACTTTATCCTGGTAAGATCTTGATTTTTATTTATTTTAAAAAACCTTTCTGTGCTTTTGCTTTCTCTGAACTTCACAGAGAACTGTAAGCTATATACCTAACTGACTTGGTCCACCAAGCTCTTTCTGTCTCAGAATATCCATTTATCTAGAGTAAATCATCTTCAGTTAGTTTGTCTTAATCAGTTATTTGCTCTTGAAAATTTAAGGCATCGTGAAACTTGTGTAAACACTACTAGAAAAATCCACTTAGATTGCTCAAATGATTCACAAAAAAAAAAATTGGTAATAATTTAGGCGCAACTTATCTGACACACAGGCACCATTGACAGCTCACTGTAGTGGTTTTGTGGATGAAGCAGGCTGCTTTCCACCCAGCCACCAAAAAAAGCTAGCAGCCCTCCCTACTGTGTGTGTGGTGCACCCCATTCCCTCTCCCCTCCTTCAAAATAGAATCTATGGCCTCATCATCAACACTTCTCAAATCTGAAAAAGAAAAAAAAAAAAAGGAAAACATGCAAGTCTTTTAATGTGGGCTAGGAATAAATGAGGGTATTAAAACAAAATAACGGTAGTAATAGACAGAACAGTCTACCTAACTGCAATATAAAGTGGAAGAGAATTACTAAAGCCTTTCAACATGACCCCAAGCAGATGTCCATTGGTTGGTACTGCAGTGTTACTGGTGTGTTGACAGCCAAACTCATCTTTTTAGCCAAGACGCGTTTAGTGTGGGGCTTGGGGTTTGTTTTGTCATATGACTGTGCTCTGTCTGATCTTGATTTGGATACAGCTTATTCCACTCCATGTTTGCTGATACAGAAAAAATGATTGTATGCTGGCAACCAAAGTTCATGAGCCAGAATGTAAGCAGAAACCTGTTACAGGAGTTTCTCATTGCCATGTCCTTGATCCTGTCTTGGCCATGCAAAGTACAGCGAGATACTGGTTTTGCATTCTAGGTACACTGTAATGCTGATCTGTGCTAATATAGTGTGGATAAGATAAGGAGGGGCTGAAGGAATCTTCAGGGACTACATGAATTTTATGCATTAAGTACCACAGGATTGAGACCATCAAGTTGTTCATGTTAGCGTTCACCTAAAAACCCAAATTCCCAATGAGGCTCTAAGAAATCTGTTACTGTTGACATGCTTGAAGTCTCTTGATGGTAAAAGCTTGAATGATCTGGTTAGTAAGAGAAGTTAGTGGGCTGCTAATAGTAAAGCAGATACTTCAAAGGCTTGCTCACTTCTTTATATTCCATCATGTTCTTGTAGCAAAACTCTTAATAGTATTTCTGCATTGTATGCCATGTTCGTTTACTGATAGGACAGCATCTTGACTGATGAAATTAAATCACGCTTGGAAGGCGGACTTTCTCCATGGCATTCACTAGCAACAGTTAGACCAAACTGTGATTCTGCTGCTTATAATTTATTTATTTTCTTAATTGCAGACTGTTCAGCAACGTGGAGCAGCCGTTATAAAGGCTAGGAAGCTGTCCAGTGCAATGTCAGCTGCCAAAGCTATCTGTGATCATGTGAGGGACATCTGGTTTGGCACTCCAGCGGTAAGATGTAACTCTTGAGTAAGTCCTTGTTTGCCCAGTGCTTTGATTATATGCCAGTGTCTTTTGTTGACCTCAGGCATCTATGTGTGTTGAGAATAATAATCAAACTCTTCTAGTCTGTCAGGAGGTGCAATAGATTGGAAGTTAAAATTTTGCTTGCTTTTAGCAATGAAAAAATTATTTTTTTGTTCTGTTTTTCAGGGAGAATTTGTTTCTATGGGAGTCATTTCTGATGGCAATTCTTATGGTGTTCCTGAGGACTTGCTATACTCATTCCCTGTTGTGATCAAGGTAACTTGTCTGTATTTACATCTAAGTGTTTTCTGCAAGTCGTAGCTAATCATAGGAGCTTCTTTAACAGCAATGCTTTTGGTATGGAACTGCAGTGGCTGGGACTTGAGGGTTTTAGCAGTCTTTCACGGAGGGGACTGCTGTTCACTGTTTTGGAAGTAGTTGTCAAATAAGTACAGCAAAGCAATCTGACATGACTAGCTACTGCTGGTAATATTCCTTATCTGAAAACAAAACTCACTTCTACTTGTTGTAAACTGCTTCTGACTGCATAGATCACGTTTGAAAAATCAGTCTTACTCAATTCTTTTACAAGTTCAGATCTTTATCCAACAGCAGGAAAATAGGATTTTTCACGTAGCTGTGACAATGCTTACCACCTTTCCTAAGGTACAAACTTGGTGTTGTACATCGTTAAGAGCAAGCTAGTTCTAAATTAGCCAATTTGAAAACTCTTCTCAAAGGTGACACTTAGTTCTCTGCAGTTCATAGACTGTAAAGTTTCCTTTGTGCACACTGAGTGAAGCTTGTTCTCATGAGGAGGACTTTTCTTTTTCCCCAAACAGGACAAGACCTGGAAGTTTGTTGAAGGTCTTCCTATTAATGATTTTTCTCGTGAGAAGATGGATCTGACTGCTAAGGAGTTAACTGAAGAGAAGGAGACTGCTGTGGAATTCCTCTCTAGTGCATGACTAGCTGATCCAGAAATACAAGGTCACTTGACAGTGGCAGAATCTAAAAGTCGTCTCTAAGTCTGCTACCAACACTATTACTGTATTCAAGTCAACTGTCTGTGGCAATTGTGCATTTTAAGGTTCATATGCTCACTGGTACTATTGTGCCTATTGAGTTCTTAGCGAAAAAGGTTAAATAAGTGAAACTAGTTTGTTGACCAAACTTTGTCTGTTCAATACTAGTTGCTTTCTGTGTATGATAAAATAATTGAGTAATTGTTTGCCTCTGCCTTGGCTAGTGACGCACAACTTCAGTTTTGATTAGAATCTGGCACTATCGGAACACATCCTGGTCTATCATCACTTCAGCATCCTGTGGCTCAACTGGGAAGGAAATTAAAATGCCAATAGTTCTCCTTGAACTGGTAGTTCAGTGACAAGTCTATTACTGGACAGACTCCAAATACATACTGTTCACTCTGGTCATGCTTACGATGTTTGTCAATAAAAATATTAAAAGACGCTTAATCAAATAATGTCTAAGAGTAGTCTGTTGGACTTTATTTGCATGTTTTAGTTATGTAGGTAGAATTTAATAGTACAACTTACGTTCTAAAATAGGTTATTAAATTTTATTTTTTAAGTTCTCAAGCATAAGTTGAGAACTTTGTTGGTAATTCACGCTTCCATTTGTCTCTCCCAGGCAAAATTACTGTATATCAACATTAGACATGAAAGCCTGAAGGCAGATTTATACTCCAGCACTACAGCTCAAAAGCAGTTTTAGTACTCTAGCTCAGTACTAATTTGGTTGTGGCTTCAAAGACAATCAGAGCCTTTTGTCCCAGGAGACAGGAACCTCACTTGGTTAAGGGCAAGAAAGGTTAATGCATGTGCTTGAGAATTCTTACTGCAGCCTCCAACCACTTCACTGCAGGAAGCTATTTCAAATATATTGAACTGTAATTATTCCTTTGCAAACACAAGTGAATGTTTCTGCAACTCCTCTAGACTCCTGTTTTGTCTGTATCTAGTGTAGTAGCCCACCTTACGTATTACAAGTTTTGGACTAGGTTTGTTCAGGGAATTTCTTAGACGTGCTCTGTGTTCTACTTGTTTTCTGAGCACCAAGTACGTCCCACCATGCTTGCAGAGTACAAACTCTCATGGTAATGGGATTTTTGCTTAAACGATGTTCGTGCTAAGTTTTTGTCTGCCCTGTTCCAATACATGTCTTGTACTGAAGTAAATCTTGAGTCTGTCACAGCTGGATTCATCTCATTTCCATCAGTTAAGGACAACAAACCAAAACAAAGGATTGAAGAAATAACCATTTTAGAGAGGGAAGGAAAAAATACCAGATCTAAAAGCCTTTATGTATTCTAAGCAAAAGAAGTGGTTTCTTTGGGGATTTATTAATTGGAATATAAAATACATCAGCAAACACTGGTAAGCTAATCCTTAAAATAAGTTGCTCTTGTAATGCTACTGTAGTTGCTAAATTAAATGATGGCATGTTGCAAAGAAGTACTAAACATAATCAGTTGAAAGGGAAAAAACAAGCATTTCAGAAAATGGAGCAAAGCTGAGAAGCAAATTTTGTATGTCTCTTTTCATAACAATTTGGGAACCTCCTACAGGAATTAGGGAAGTAAGGAAAGCTGCCAATGTGATGAGTGCCTTCTGGTGCTGCACACCGAGTCAGTGAAATTTAATTTCAACATGAGCCAAGGGACCAAAGGTGTTCATGCCAGTAATTACCATGATGCATCTTGTTTTAAAGCAGTGTGCTTTACAGCGAATGTTACAGGGGATAGCTATACTTCACACAACTCTGCTTGAAAAGGCTATGAGCTAATGAAAAGAAAAAGTACAGAGCCGTGCCTGAAAATCATAAATAAGGTGATAAATCTTGCGGTATGTTTTAAGCCATACCTACAGAATTATTACAATGCGGGGAGACATTTTTTTTTTTAAAAAAAGAAAGTGAAGATCTGGCTTTCCAGGTTGTATTTTTTTTTTTGGTTGGTTGTTTTAAAGCAGCCTTTTCCAGGTGAAAACATATCCATGTCCAGTGATGCTTACAACACTTGGTGTGTCAGAACAATCGCATAATTGACCTCAGCACTTGACAGACTATCTGATCATGCTATCTCAGGTTAACACTACCTAAATTGATTCATCTCATGTTACAAATTTTAAACACTGTATTTCTTCCATGTTTCTGTGAAATAATTCCAGAAGTCTTCCTAATTCTTATTGACCACATGCTTAACTACCAGCCCACTACCTCAAAACTCTCAAACTAGTGAGTGGTGGATATTGTTTGCATTTGTTCTAATTCCTCTAGGTTTTAGATTTCTGGGAGATTCCTCCCTCTATGGTTAGCTGGCTCTTGTGCAAAATGACAAAAGCCCCAATAAGTGCAGTGTTTCTGCAGGCAGCTTTGCTCTTCTTGGTGTAGCAGGCATATGAAAATACGCGCATGAAACCAGGAGTAGTAGCCATCCCTTTTCCTTCTAGCTTAGAGGCTCTTACAGATAAGAGGAAAGTTGAATCTTGCTTTTCATTGAGATGTTCCTATCCGGGGATTATTATGTTTTTGAGTAGTAATGTGATGGAGGTTGTGATGTATGAGAAGAGACGGGGCGTTCAGCCTGGAGAAGGAAAGGCTCAGGAGATGTTACTGTCAACAGCTACTAAAATGGAAGGTGCAGAGAAAGCAGAGCCAGATCTCTCAGCAGCATGCAGTGGAGGGTCAAGAGGCAACAGACACAGGTCGGAACACCAGAAACTGAGTTATGAAGTCTGAGGATGATCACGTACTGGAGCAACCAGAGGAGTTGTGGAAGCTTGGATGTAGCCTTGGGCAGACAGGTAGAGGTTGGCCTCGCATTCAGCAGGAGTTTGGGCTGGGTGGCTTCTGACCTAAGTGGGTCTATGAAAGCCACTGAGCCTTAGACACCCCCTTTATCTTCTAAACAACTTTAAGTGGATAAGTATTAAAAGGCATTCTTTAGTTAGCAAGGAGGGTACTTTCAGCAAACACAGAGTTCCTGGCTAGCAAGGAATCTCACTTCCACTTATTGGCTTGGTTATTTCCCCGAGAGAACAAAAGTTGGGGCTCCAAGCAGCAACTCCAAGATGAGGACACATAAATCTTCCTCAAGAACCGAACCCCAGGGGAAATCAAGATTTGAATTGCAAAACCCACTCCTGGAAGGTTTCTAGATAGAGCAGCTAAGAACATCAGGGCTGCTGGCTGAGCTCATGCATCAGCAGAAAGGCTCCCAGGGAGGAGAGGAAGCTGTTCTGCGTGACTGGAATGCTTTGTCGGGGAGTCCCTGGATTTTTGGCATGAGAAGAACCTGGAAAACCCTGCGGATCCCAAATCCTCCCTCCGTGCTATTGAAAGCTTATCAAGACGGTTCTGCAAAGCTGATGTTCTTGTGGTTTCTTGACAGCTTTCCATTCCCAGCAAGAATTCTTTGAGAGAAGAAATAAAGCTGTTCCCCAATGAACAAAAAAAATTGATTTTCAGTTTTTCTTGCATTGTTGTTTTTTCTCCTCTTGCTATTTTTCACAGTGACTGCAGGTGAAGCTAGAAACTCTATCTCATATAAATGAATCTAAACATTATGCTGATGCTCACCATAAAGATTCACACTTTGGGCTTATAAATAAGGCATCATGTCATAGTAAATCAACGTGATTTGAATCTCGCATTGCATAAGGTAAGGCAAAAGAACTCTGGCAAGTAAAACAGATGCAGCATGCTCTCAAAGTACCTAATTTAACAAAAATTAGGGCAATTCTACTGAAAAGAGTTTGTTAGCAATATTTTTTCCCCTTGCTGCCCATGTTTTTATTTGGTTTGTCTGTTTTAAAAAAGACATTTTACATTTGAAGTAGCAAATCCCGGAGTATGATGACTGCTCAGATGAAAAGGAAGTGGAAGTTATGTAAATATAACTATTTGCAGCTCAAAATGCAAATAATTAGTTTGTGTTAACTACCCGGTTTGGTTGAAAAACATTCTGGCAGTTTCGAAGCGTCAGCTTTGCAGAGGAGCATGGCAAATGGTATGTGCAGCATCTAGTCCACGATCACATCGTGTGTTCCCTTCGCATGATGATGGCCAAACCTCGCCTCTTTGGCTGTGGAGAAGGGAGCACATCTCTGGGCTGACAGCTGCTCTTCAGCTTTGTAAAGAAGTGGAAGCTGCAGCAGGAGGAGAGTGCTCCCCAGCTTTTTGAGGAACCTTCAGGAACATTCACTGGAAGCCCGAGTCCCCTGGGGATGTGCAGGAGGTCAGCAGAGGACAGCTTGGGGTCAGGGAGCCTCCAGAGGGGTGCTGCTGCTGGTTACACCGTGTCATTGCGACAGCACAGGAAAAGATAAGGAGTGCAGGCCTAGGCAATTTCAAGATGTGAAATTGCATCCAAATTTTGCCGTGGTGCCTTTCATGTGCTTCATGACTAAAAAAAGGACAGGTTGCTTCCCAAAATAGCCTAAACTAACAGACTTGTCACCGCACAGCTGTTTGCAGACTCAGAGTTCAAGAGCAGCAGGGCTGGGCACGAGCTTCCAGCATGGATTCGTTATCAGCTAGAGGAGAAAAAATAAATTTGGCAGCTGACTTAGGAGCACGCTGGGCCTGTTACATATCGCTCTGGTGCTGCTCTGGCTGGGTCGTTGCATCCAGCTTTTGGGGTGATTTTCTAATTCAGAATTGTCATTCCTTATTGACAGGAGGTCCTTCTTTATCCCCTCTTCCTGGTGCTCTCTCCACATCATCGCTGGCCGTCAGTCACAATGCATCTTAAGTGTTTTTCCTGGTACATCTGCTGGTGGGGAACCAGCTGCAGATTCTCGGGGTGGCGAGAGTGAGAAGCACAACTCCACGGGCTGTGGGTGGTTGTGCAGGTGGTTTCTAAGCAGGAAAGCCTTGGAGAAAGGAGGACTGTGGAAGGGCTGCTTCTGCTCTCAGCTGGTCTGGCATGGACGGTCCCTGCCCTCCTCAACTCATTATTATCAGTGACTGCTCTGGAAAAGGGCAGTGCATGTATCCCTGATATGATTTTACTCTAAGAACAATTTGTGATGGAACAAGCTGGTATTTATGCCAGGATAGAGTTGAGGACAGCAATTTTAACACGGATTTTTGAGCTGCATGGGAAATAGTGCTTCTGTCTCTGCTTCGTGGGTCAGACAGCAGCAGAGACAGCTTCTGGAGCTTGTTTGGGTGCACGTACACTTCTCACCAACATGATTTTTGTGCATGAAGATTCAGGAGATCTTGCCTGCACCATTCACAAAGCAGAAACGCCAAAGCTGTTTTGGTAATGAGAGCAAACCTCCAACACAAACCCTTTTCCAGGGATGCTCAAGTGGCACATCCCTGGAGTGACACCAGACTTCTGGAGCAAATACTCTTATCCTAGGAGGTCGTGTCAGTCAGTTGTGACTCTTTGTTCCACAGCCCCTCTGGCCAGGGCTGCTCCTTTTGTCTGATTTGTCTCAGGACCTGAGTATGCTGAAGATTAGGCATTAAGCTTTTTGGCAGTAGTGTTTTTTGACACCAAGGCAGCCTTAAATCCATAAAACTAAATAAATGGTTAAATAAATCAATGAAAAAAAAAAAAAAAAGATATTTATGGAGCCTCCAGGTGGAGCTAGTAGAGAGGGAGTTACACTGGGAGGACTTTTCCCCCTCAATCTATGAGCCTGAAGAATTCAAACACTTGACCAAGAGAAAAATAAAAAGGCAAATCTTCCTCCACTTCTGTAATTACAAGCCTGGGGGGAGGGGAGGCTAGGAAACACTCAGCAGGAGAGGGGAGGTGTGGGTTACCCCATGTTCCCACCATGAAGAGGCAAGTCCACACTGGGTGGGCACCTTCCTCCAGCCAAGGGAGGAGAAGTCTGCATGAGGTGCTGATTCCCTTGGGCAAAAAGAATAAACCTCAGGCACACTTTGTGAATAGTACTTGAGATTAGGTTATAAATTCAGGATGTGAGTTCTGCTCCTGGCTCTGCAGGAGACATCCTCTCCACCAGCAGCCAGATAACCTGGCTTTGCCCCTCAGCTGCTTTTCCTAAACTAAGATGATAACATGGGGTGAGTGGTATCTAAAAGGTAGCCGATATTTGCAAAGTGAGCTGAAATCCTCAGCTGCAGGATGTTATTAAGGGTGCTGTCAGTTTCGTTAGGAGACAGGGTGGCTGTGCACCAAGTAACACTGAAATATGAGATATACAGAGAGAAAGAAATATGGAGAAGTTAGACAGGTGAAGATGGCTATGTTATTTTTTCAGGCTTTTAAGGAAAAAACTATTATTATTAATAATAATATTAATATTAATAATATTATTATTAATAAAGAATTATTGTTATTAATAAACATTCTCATTTTAATAATAATAATAATAATAATAATAATAATAATAATAATAATAATAATAATAATAATAATAATAATAATAATAATAATAATAATAATAATAATAATAATAAAGTGCCTTCCTGCAGCAGCAGGAGGAGAAGGCCCACGTGAAAAGCTCACCTCAGAAACAGCCAGGGGCCACCTCTGCAGGGCTGGGTCCTGCTGATATCACTGCACTGAAATACCCAGAGGATGGGGGGAGGCAGCTGGTGTGTTTCCAGCCATTCCCGTTTCTCTGTACGGCCGCAGGAGATGAGGTTGGCTTTTTTGGAAAGTGATTCATCTGTGTTTCGCACAAATAGAGAAATAATTAATACAGGCTCCACATAAGCAAGGCTCCTGTCTAGCACTATCCATCACTGCGAAACTGGGCATGGGTTAAATTAAGTTTCTCTTGAGCGCTCAGTCTGATAACAGTAAAATCCAAGCAAACATTTCATTTGCAGCAGCTGCTACAAAGCAATTCCTCCGAGTGCCCGGTGCTCCCCATAACCAAACCCCTGGCAGCACCATTGCTGGGCTGGTGGCAGGGGTCACACATCTCCACCTGAAAATTTGGGGATTTCAGCTCAGCCAATTATTGTTCCCTTAGGAAGGCTTCTGTCACATATGAATCCTACAGTTACTCTGATTTAAATCCCATACTCGATGCCCATGCAAAATGCATCAGAAATTTATGTAACCCACCCGAAATCCACGTGAATATTTCAAAATAAAGATTAGGATCGTATTCTGGCAGATCATCACAAGTTTTCTGAAGCGTGAAGAGCTCTGTAGCAGTATTTCTGAATTCATGATGCGGCTTTCACTGCTTTTATAAATTTCAGTTTGCCATTATAAAAACACAATAATTGTATATTGCCACACTGCTTGTCAGCAGCCAGTTGTTCACTAAAGTGTGTAATAATGGCATGCCTGCTTCTATCTCTGTTTTTTTATCTCTGTCCAGCACAGCATAAGCGGACATCTCCCTGACACTGCCAGAGGTTGGAGGTGTGCCGGGAAGAGGATATTGTACTTCTGTACAGCAAAACCGACATTGCCTTCTGCTCTGCTTCAGCACTGGACACATACAACAAGAAGTGCACAGTCTCTAAAATACCATCCCATCCTCTGTCACCTATATATGCTTCTTTGTCAAGGTGGAGTGAAGAAAAGAGACCTATGTAATCATCTAGGCACACGTGCCCTTTTCTGGAGGCAAGAGATATGGCTTTGCTATCGCTGGGCTCCTGCATCAGTGGTGAGTGTCTAGGACAGCCTGGTGGACTAAGCTGTGCCAGCTCAGGATCTTATCCCCCTGTTTTTGCCAATTTTCTGCTTGTGTTGGAGCTCCTGCCCATCTTGAAGCTATACCAACACTCATGTTGTTCTGGAAGAGCAGACCTCAGTATCGTCTACACAAAACATGTTCCTTTTCTTCAAGGATTTACAGGAGGCAATAGTCCTTCTCCAGCTGCCTAGGCTTATCTGTCACAGCTAGGGGTGTGCAACCATTGCTGAGTAATCACCTGCTTCTTTCTTCTTCCCACTCCAACCCTGGGACTGTCTGCCAGCAATGCTGCATAGATAGTGTGGCAAAAATAAAATATAGGAAAGGATGAGTGGACACGCATGCATGTATGTGCATGTATCTGGGCATCAGATGACTTTTGGCAGCATCCAAGCCTGATTGCCATTGTGAGCCTTGTTTGAGGGAGCTGGTTTGTGGTTGTCTGAATGAATGTTCTCACTGCAACTGTAGTGTGCAACATTTCCCTGATTTTCTAGTCTGTACTGTGTCTAGTCATAAATTAGAAACACCTACTTAACTGCAAAAGTCTTTGTAAATGGTAAAGTCCATGTATTTTGATCATGTTCAGAACCTTTGCTTGGGAAAACAGAAAATTTTGCACAAGGAGTCACTAGCTGGGGTTGCCTTTGCCACTCACCTTGGAAAGGGAAGCTTTCCTGCAGTGCTGTGACTGTTTTTGCTAGAAGGACCTGGCTTTCTACTCAGCATGTTCTTCCCAGAAGAAATCCTCTTTGATTTGCAGTACCTTGGGAAAGCAGCACATCAGGCGTCAGGGTGGTTTTTTTCGAGGCTTTCTTCTCCTTCGCCAGCCTCCCATCTCTTTGCTCTCACTCAGGTTCCCAAGCTCTGGCTCTCCGAGCTTTGTTTTCTTTAATAGCAGGGTGCCGTGTATCTGTTTGTCTTTCTGTCATCCCACGCACACACACACGCTGTTTTCATGTTGCTTGCCACATGTGTGGGTCTGGCACTCAGGTTTTCTCTATAATACACCAGCCAAGAATTTGAGCCAAAGAAGATGAAGCTTTTCGCTCAGATGCTTGCTGATTCACTTGGTCTGCTGGCTTTGCTCCTCACTCCCTGCTTTTGGGCCATCTCTGGGGCTTTGCCACACGAGCTGGGTGTTGCGTTGGCCACCGTGCCTGGATCTGGGCCCATCCACATTTCCTCCGCTTTCTTGGGTGCTCCATGAGCCAGGAGCACTATCAGACACAGGGAGACAATGAAGGAGGTGGGCTTGGAAGGCCCTACAGCCTTCTTTTTGTCCTTCCACCCCTCTTCAACCTTCCCCCTCTGGCTTCTGAGCAGTAGACCAGAAGAAATTATGTTCTCTACTAACCCCATGGAGCTTCCCTGGCTTGCTGGCTGGGGAGAGCTAGCAGTGAGGGGAAGAGGACCTAGCAGTGAGGGGAAGAGGACCTTTCCAAAGTCATCTGTGCTCCTGCATTTTGGAAATGTAGACCTTATGGGTTTTTGAGTCTGCTTGGCACTGACAATCGAGGGAGCCTTTGTGCAAAACAGGGCGCAGGCCTGTCACGCCTGTGGTGAAAGAAAATGGCGGAGGGCCGGAGCTGTGGGGGAGGCTGGTAAGGCAGACCTGCTCCTCATCTCCACCACGTATCTGTCAGAGTTTGTCTTCACTGAACAGAAAAGGCTCAAGCTGCTTGCCCTCAGTCTTTGTTATGGCAGAAGAGGGAAGCAAGTCCTCACCACACCCTGCTTTTGCCTGTTCTGGGCCCTTCTTGCTATGAGCCACGTGGCCGCCTTGTCACCTCGGTGGGGAGATCATTTCTGGATGTTCCTGTAGAAGCACTCTGTAAAGTTACTCATGCATTATAAATATGCGTAAGAAACAAAGTAAACAATGAAAAATAGCTGCTGTTTTTCCATGTGGATGTCCAGGCGTCCAGGCAGTACCTAAGATTATAGGCAGAGCGATAACTGCAGGGAGGGACAACGTCTTTTATTGTAGCTGCTGATGCATTTGGAAAAATCAGCCTCTGTTAGGCAAACAGGTCTTCACAGAGAGAACAAATCCTCTTTTTTTCTTCTTCCCAAGTAGATTATTTGTTTTAGTAATAAAGCAAATACAAATCTCTGAGGGGAAAAAAATATATATGGTTTTATATAGGCAATAACAGGAACGGAAAGACCTCGAGGTCACGCAGGGAGAGGGAGCAGGACTTCTCCCGAACAGGCTGGGTTCACACACATGTCACTTGGCTCAGCCGCCTCCTCGGAGCTGCGTGACGCACGGGGAGATGGTGGCTTTACAACACAGCCCTGGCAAAGCAAATACACAGCTTGTTTGCCTTAAGCTGAGGTGGTGAGCCATGCTGAGGGATGGAGATTCCTGCTTGGGGCAGCAGTCTGGTGACAACGAGGGCTGACGGTGGGGTTCTGGATGCGTGCAATGGATCAGCTGTAGGTGTGTGAGTATGGTGGTTTTACTAGACCCAGTACAGTGAGGACTGCACTTGAGGTCCACCAGGCACCTCAGACCTGCCTTGGATCCATTTGGATCCAGTAAGGCTTCTGTAAGTCATACTGCACCTGAGCTGATCAAGCCCATGATAAAAATGCCCATGCAGACTTTGCAGCTAAGGAAGTTTTGTGCAGGCACCGGAGACATCTCATAAAAACAACACATGGTCCCAGATGATTAGTCTCTCTCGTGCTAAAGAAAGCTGCAAGAAGAGATCAGACAGATGGGCTTTCCACCAGGAGGCCAGCATGACAAATGCACCAGAAATGAAGAGCATGTCACCTCTCTCCAGTATAAAAAAATAAACAGATTTTCTCCTCTGTAGGTCATCCCAGACTTCTTTCGCACTCAGCATGACAACAGTGAGACTCTCGCAGATCTTCACCCGGATTCTGTCACATCCCTGCCCACGGCCAGCCACCACCACAAACCAGAGGCCAGTCTTTACCACAAACACATGGCAGGCACAGCTCTAGAAGAGGAAAAATATCTGTGGATGCACATACATGTTGGTTCCAGAGGGACTACTGCCTCTCCTAAGTCCTTGGAAGAAAGGGATGTGGTTTTGTCGGAAGAGTACTAAGGTTTCTTCTTCCAGAAGGGTAACATGAGTGTTGGTATAGCTTCAAGGTGGGCAGAATTTTTAAACAGACACAAAAAGTGTGAAAGGAAAAATAACAATTTTCCCTCTATGCCTAATAGACATGTGTTAGAATAAATAACTTAATTAAAGTCTCCATTAATGAAGTGCCCGTGTTCTGGTCTGGTTTTGATACTCTCTGGCCTAACTGTCAATGGCAAGATCAGGCCACGTTGCTCAGAGCTTTATCTTGTTGGGTCTTGAAACCAAGGGTGGACACTGGGCAGCCTCTCTGGGCAACATCCTCCAGCGCTTAATTAATCTGGTAGTGATTTTTTCTCCCCTAATACCTAGTGAGAACCTCCTCTGTTTCAATCCATGTCTCTTGTGCCCTTGCTGTGCATCCGTAAGACAGCGCCTGCCTCTGTCTTCTCAGAGCCTCCTTATAGGTGTTGTTAGATGACTTTTAGGTTTACCTCAAGCCTCCTCTTCTTCAAGCAGAACTAATCCAGCCTCTCCTCATACACCATCTTGGTGGTCTCCCCTGTGCTCTCTCCAGTTCGTTAACATTGTTCTTGATTCAGGGGCCCCAAAACTGGGTGCAGCATTCAGACAATTCATAACAAGTGCCAAGGAAAGCGGAACATCACCTCCCTCTATCAACTGGCTGTTGGTGTGACCTAAAAGTGACAGATACTCAGGGAGAACAAATCTCTCATGCAGCGTTCTGGGTTTTGTCTGAAATGGGTGTTAGCAGCTAAAAATCATTAGGAGAAGAGTAAGCATTTGGCAGAAATTATAGGCCAGACTTGTCTCGTTTAGATCCCACCGCCAAATTTGACTTCATGTTTCACCTCCCAGATGGGACCAACAGTTTTAACCAACAGTTAAAATGTTTTGTGCAGGTTGTGCAGGAAGAGGTGCAGTTTACCTGAAGCCAGCCAACAGCACCCAAACTAGAGGTGCCTCTTGAACCACGAGGTGTCCCCACAGGGCAGCTACATGGGCTTGGGAAGGACACAGAGGGAAGCCACAGAAGAGGGAGGACTCAGCCCTGCAGGGTTGGACGTGCAGATCTACCTCTTGATATTTCAGAGATTTTTTATTTTTTTATTTATTTTTTTAAGGGGAGTAATGTTTTCATTTTGTATTATGGTGGAAGTGGTGCTCCCCTTTCACTTGGAGAGAAAAATAATCTTTTCCAGTCTCCCTTGGATTCCTAACAAGGGTAGGTGAAACACAGGTGCAGGATAAAGCAGAAGTGTCATTTACCTTGTCCTCCGCTGTTCCCAGAGCCCTGGTGTCTCCAGGTGGCAGCCAGGCAGAGGCAGGGAAGTGATCTGAAGAAATGATGCTCCTTGGCTAAACAGTAACTTCACAAGAAGTGATCATTTTGGTGCAGAAATTTTCCATGACATTTCCCATTCTTCTGATCCAAAGAGCAAAAAGGTGGGGTAAGGCTATTTAACTCCTCAAGGAGATTATAGTAAATGGGTCTTGAGTGTTTTTGAGTAGGTTCCTGCAACTGTATGGCTATTTCTACAGGGTGAGATTAGGAGAGGTTCCCTTTGTGTCCCAGATTATGCAGGAGGCTGGACACCTTCCTAAGCAATTCAAACCCTCTCATGGAAAGAGGACAGCAGAAGCAAGAGCTCTTTGTTAAGCTCTGAGCTACTTGATAGGCACAACCAAAAGCACCACTGCTATGTGAAACTAGCCCTTCCTTTCTTTTCCTTTTCATCCAAGCACTGAAACAAAATGCTTCATTTTGATTCACAGAGAAGCCTTTGATATTGGATGAAAAACACAGACATTTAATTTATTTTTGGTGAGAGGAGGAAAAACGGTGCCCCATATTCATGCTTCTGCACTTCCATACCTCACTAACTAGCCCTTCCTCCATTCCTGGTATTAATTTAATGAGTTTGTTATCCTAAAACATAACAAAGATTTGGGCTGGTGTTGATGCTCTTCAGCACTGACTATTTCCCCTTCCAGAATAAAGAAGCTGATGGAAGGAAACTGAGCAAAACCTGACTGAAAAATATCTGTCTGCTGAAGCCTCTCTCCAAACCTACAGGCTAGCTGCTTTAAGACATGGCTCTGAGTAACCTGTGCTGAATAAAGTCCTTGGGTTTTTAACCAGGTCTTTAACCTGGATAATGACCTTGGTCATGCAATGAGGGACTGCGAGTAACCCCTTATCTTGGGATTTGGCATGGAAATTGCTGACGATGTGTTCAGCGGAAGCAGAGCTGGATGGTGTGTGCAGGGTGACTGCCCTCCAGTATTTGCTGTGGGCCTGACAGAGGTACCCAAGGCTGAAGAGCTGCTGCAGCTCCTCTTCCAAATCGCTGATGGTCTTGTTACAAAGCATCAATGACACTGCCAAAACCCTGGGAACTGACACGTGTCCCTCATGAAGCACCCAAACTATATTCAGATGTTCATCAACACAGCTGTTACCCATATACCTGACTCCTAACTATGCCTGGTGCAGAGAGAATTTGGGCAAAACTGCTTGAATTCTGTGGGAAAAAAAGGAAGTGTCAGAAATATTGTCTGCAAAGTTCACATACTTACGGTGCTCTACATACCTTTATCAAAAATGCCAATCAAAAAATGAAATACGTCAGCAGTGAGAGATGAGCTGCCGTGTTCCGGAATATGCTATCCATTAAAGACATATGGCTTATTACATTTTTTTTCACGTAATGAGCCGCCTGATTCCCGAAAGGTCCACAAAGGCGCTGACGAAGTCCACACCTACTTGGGCACAAATTTTCTCCCAAGGCAATGAGAGAGATACTTGGGCAAATAAATTGGAGCCTGACTCACAGCGCTCCTACGACTTTCTTGGCCCATTACGTGGGCAGCGCTGCGGGGGGTACAAGGAAATGGTCAGGGAAGTGACTGCCGAAGAGCCATCCATCCACGTGTATCTTCAGGCACACAGTTAAACAAACAGAAGAGTGGCAGAAGAAGTCATAAATGATTACTCAAAGTTTACCTTGGCTCTTTTATTTAAATGAGCTGGAAAGGTAAATGTTGGGGTAACATGGCACAGACTGGCTTCTGGATACTTTTTTTAGGAAGATCCAACTGCAAAAAATCAATGAACCAGAAAAAAAGGTCAAGTGACCTTAAAATGAAAATCAATGCCGCAGAGATGCAACCTGATCAAAGCTGTCTTGTGGTTTCCCAATGAATTTTGCTATAGATTTTGACTGGGGTTTGGTCATGGACTTCAATAAAAGCACGGCCAGGCACAGAATCAATGCTTCTTCTCACCCTTATTCTCAGTCCATTATGTACTATTGATAGCACCACGTATTTTTCATCATGACAAGTATTTATCTTCCCCTGGTTACTTCACAAACTTCTTAAGATACCTTTTGCCTGTCCAGCAGGTAGACATTGTTCTGCCCAGATAACTTATTTTTTAAGAGAGCTGTACTGAGACCTCTCGTCTTCAGTCCTAGCATCCTTCCTCAGCCTTCCTTTTCTTTTAGCATTCTGTGCCATTATCTTCTAATTGTTTCAGATGAAAGATATGTTCTTTTTCCATGATTTTTGTTTCTGGTTTAAGAAGCACTGAGAATACTGTGTTTTGTGGATGTTTATTAACAAAAAGAGCTTTCCTAACTTTTTCTCTCAACAGAAGGTGTGTTTTTGACTCTAGCACAGGCTAACCTACTTTTTGGAAGTGAAGGAAACTAGTTGGGAAGAGTGATTAACAGCATGAACGTCAAGAGAGGGGAGACAGGAGAAAATGAGGAGGTGAGCCAAATGAAGCAGTAGCCTGAAGCTCACAAGAAGAGTGGCTGAACACCAAAAAGAGAAGATGCGAAAAGGAAATGTGCAACTGCTGTAGAAAAGCAACCTGGCTGGGAGGGAGGATGTGAAGGTCACCTCAGCTTATGAGGAGCTGATGAAGTGTTGGTGATAGAAGGAGAGGGAGGAAAGCCAGGTTGGTCTGAGGGAGAATCCGAGTGTGGGAGAAGGGGGATATGGGCAGAAATAGGGAGAAATCAGGTCCCCAGAGAAAGAAGGACGGATTAGTAAGGAAAAAGCAGGAGGGGAGAAGGGACAGAAGGTGGTGGTGGGAGGCAGATGTAGAGAAGAGATGGGTGTTTGGAGATGTGGGATGGATGGAGCCCATCCCATCGCCCAGCCCAGCACTTAGGCAGGTGCAAGATCTGAGGCCGCGCCACCATGCCTGATGCCTGAAGGAAGCTGGCAGAGGACCAGGATTCAGCAAATGCCGTGACCAGACAGCTGCGAGTGCACGTGGCATGAGAAGTGCCTTTGCCACGAGGTGCCTCTGCCATGTTTGCTTTGGCGAGGCAAATGAGCGTAACTGCAAAAAGCAGAGCACGAGTGGCAGCCAGCCAGCCTGCCTGGGAGGGGTTTATGGAGGGGGGGGGTTATCTCGCCCCGCTGGAGTTGCATCATGTAGGCAGGGACAAAAAAAAAAATATTGCTCAGGCAACTCTGATTTTCAGGGCAAAAGCCTGAAAGCCTCAGGAGGAAATCCTGTAGAGCAGAAATCAAGACGGAGGCACTGGCAGCTGGGGAGGGGTGGAGCGTGGAGGTGATCCAGGGTGCAGAGTTTTTGAATTTCTGTGAAATACCCATGAAAGGGGCAGTTCCTCACACCACCACTGAGCCAACACTTTTGGTTAAGGCATGTCCGTGTCACCACCAAGACCTCATCATGGTGGGACACGTCTGGGCACCCAGCAAGGACCCGCCGCTGCCAGCTCTGGCTTGTTTGGAAATTCACCCGCAGCAAAAGCACATCCTGCTGCACATTTGCATACCTGCAAGAAGAGGCTTTTCTTTCCTTTTCAGGCATCTACTAGCTAAAAAGTTTTATCCGAGCCCGTGAGCTGACCTCCCAGAAGTCTGGAAAGCAGGTGGTTTCCCGAAAGTGTGCTCGTTACATCAAATGGGCACAGCGCTCTGGTACTTAGACTTAAAGGCTTCTCCTCCATTTATAGCACTTGACTGAATCAATATGATAAAGACAAACGGGCCAAATGGCCGTTTCCCTTTCAGACTCCCCTGAGTGCACACATTTGTGTTAGCTTTTGTACATGAGCACAGTTCTTCAGAGATTTCTGACGTTTGTGTGAGAGGGGGAAAGCAGCAAATCGTCAATCCCCACCTTCCCCACCTCCCCTGACTCCACCAACCTGAGGAAGATGCAGGGGGTGAATTTCCACAGTCCTGTTCATCCCCTCAGAATTACTCTTTTGGCATCTTTGTGTAGCTGTGTAATCACTGCCGAAGTCAAGCTGTTGCCGCTTCTCCGCAGAACTGCCAAATACAAAGGAGATAGAAATTAGCAGCGATTGCCTCCAGTGCCTGTCAGGGTATTGTGAGTGCAGCCCTCACTTTCCAGGTGTTTCTTTTTCTCCTGTGGTTTTCTAATGACTGCCCTGAATTTGCCTGTTTAGAGGAGGCCAACAATTGCTCTCACTGTTCTGCAGGTGATCAAAAATTTTGTCTACACAGAAAGCTGCAACTGGTGCTTTATTAAAGCACGTTACAAATACAGAAACCGAAATCATCCTGCCAGTGGTGAGAGGAGTGGTTCGGGTCTATCTGCCTGGGCAGTTTCACTCAAAAGGCATGTGACAGCCCTTCCTGAGCAGCCACCGAGCAGGCGAGGAGAAGAAACGCAATAGCCAAGAGCCTATAAATCAATCTGCAGGCATTAAATGGGAGCTAGAAGAGAAGGGTAGGTGCTGCCATGCTATTTATAAATTATGCCATCCTTACACGATTAAGGCCATCCCAAACAGAAGCAGGGCACGAGCTCAAGGCCTCACCCACCCCCAGCACCGTGCACTGCAGCAGCTCCACACCATTCAGCCACTGCACTCCAGGGAAAAGGAGCCTGCATCAGGCCCAGGGCAAAGCAGGAGTATTGAGATAAGTGTTAATATTTAATGGCACGGGCTCACCAGCGTGCCAATACATGCAACATTGGAGGCCTGAGCTCATGCGCTGGGCTCCATCCACAGAGTGCACATGCTGTCCTGTCAAGGACGAAGTCTCACACTGTAGAAAGTACCAAAGTCCCTTTGATAAGATGAATTGGCTCAGCACTGCTGTCTCAGATGAAAAGAAAAAGAAAAAGAAAAAGAAAAAGAAAAAGAAAAAGAAAAAGAAAAAGAAAAGAAAAGAAAAGAAAAGAAAAGAAAAGAAAAGAAAAGAAAAGAAAAGAAAAGAAAAGAAAAGAAAAGAAAAGAAAAGAAAAGAAAAGAAAAGAAAAGAAAAGAAAAGAAAAGAAAAGAAAAGAAAAGAAAAGAAAAGAAAAGATGAGATCAAGGAAGGTATAAAAGATTTCTAGGACTGGGTGCCTGCTCGGGCTCTCACCAGCACACAGCCCAGGCTCCAGCCTGGGTTATGCTGCAGGGAACCCAAGCACCTCCCAAGCAGCGATTCTGCAAGGTGCATTGCCTATCTGCCACCCCTTGGGGTAAAGACATTTTTCCATGGAAAAGCCTGTGGAGCTCGCTTAAGCCTCCTTAAAGAACAGAGAAACTAAAACTACCTGCCCTGAGCCAACCACCTAGGCACTTGTAAAGCACTGCCAGCAGTCATAAGTTCCCTGATGTCACCGCTGCCAAAAATACCTGGCGTGGCTTCAAGAGGGAGGGCAGGTGGTGGAAGACGTCAGAAAGGAGAAGGTGTTTTTGGTGCCTGTTCCCTTTCCCAGGGAGCTGTTTAACTGGCTGCAGTGCCAGACGGGGTACAAAGGAGGAGATTCGAGGTGCTGAGACAATTACATGCTAACGAAGTCTTGGCTGAGGCAGGAGGTGGCACTAGGAGACCTGGTTTAGTGATGGGACTCGGGAGGTCAGGTGGGGCTTGGTGATCTTGAAGGTCTTCTCCAACCTAGGTGATTGTAGGTATCTCATGTCAGGAGGCTGCCCAAGTACAAGTAAAAAGGCACATCTGGAAAAAATGGCAAGGAAGTCTGTATTTTAAGCTCACTGTCCGGGGACAAGGCACTCCACAGCACAGGTCATGAGCACTCTTAGCCTTGGCTGTTGCCCACAGGACTTTTTCAAGAAGCTGCCCAAAAGCAACAAATCGATTTTATTGTCCCGTTTCACTCTGTGAAGCTTCTGCCTCTCTGCCATACCCCTACCCACACGTAAGCATCCTTCATCTGTCCTTCTGCTTGGCCCCTGCTGCTTCTCCATTTGCAGGAGCAGTGTCCAAGCCCAGGAGCAGGCGATGAGCAGACATTGCATTACTGCTGCTCGAGATTTCTGCATCGTCTTAGGTGGGCGGCCATCCGGGGCGGACTGCGGTTTGGGAGAGGTGGTAGCCTCGGAGGCTGAGCAGAAGTCACAGCGACAAACAGGCGTCTGCTAGAATCACACCCCGATGGCTGCCCCTCCTCTACGGGGGCAGGAAATGTTGCTGTACGCTGGGTACGTGCTGTACGTTTCAGTCCGAAAAAGCAACGCGGAGCCTCGCAGATGCAGGGTGCTTTTGGAAAGGAAGACCCAGAGGCACGTGTCTGAGGATGTGCCTTGCAGGTCTGTCTTACGGGGAGAGGCGAATCTCTCAGTGGGTCTCATTATGGGCTGGATTTACAAGATGGTTGTTTTATTGCAGGAAAAAAATACCGTGCTTAGCAGGAAAAACTCCTGGTAGACTGGCAGGAAAGCACGGAGCAGAGAGGCAATGAAAAGATTTAAAACTTCAGCGTTGTTAGGGCTACAATTCCTCTTGGTGCTCACAGCTTTGTCCTTGCGTCATGCGTAACGCCTATATGGCAAAAGCTTGCGGGCTGAAATAACTCACTTTCTCCGAATTTTACAGCAGGAACTGGGTCCAGTCCCTGCAGTTGTTAATGTGACTCAGTTGCATGCTTATACCCTCATTCACAAGATTAGGAAATGAGTTCTCTATAACTGAGATTACCGGCCACTTCGTTTTCATTTATCTGGAAATGAAAAGCTGTTAGCAAAGTTAACAGCAGCTGAATATCAGAAGAACAATATACGGCAAGAATTGCTGACATACATTTAGTGGCTGTCCCCAGTAAAGTATTTGAAGAAGGCAGCTGGATAAAACCAGACCTAAAAATAGCACTTCTTAAGAACTGATGACAATAGACATGCTGTCTCCTGCGCTAGGAAAATGTGCTAGAGGTTCATTGTCATGTTTATTATTTAACCACAGGACAGCAACTCACAGCCACTGGAAATACTCCACTTAAATCCCAGCGTGCTGCTGAGTCCAACAAGAATATATTTTTAAGAAGGTGTGGAAAGAGGGGTGTGAGGAATTGCAAACCATTGCATTATCATAGGCTTGGGGGGAAAAAAAAAAAGGCATGGAGACATTCAGATGGCCAAAGCTCCCCCCCCAAAACACTTGCAGGAAAGATTTAATGTGCGGGATGCACTGCCAGACTCCTTGTCTGTCATCCCTCCTGCCTGGCCAGGCTCGTACAGCAACAGGGCATTAACTTCCCTTCCCACCAAGCCTTGCTGCCTGGTCTGGCATTTAGCTCTGAAGCAACCCATGCCCCCGCAAAGTGAAAGCCCTGAGCTAATTTCTATTTGCTGTTTGTGCTGGAACTTCAACGTGCCTAGCAACCCTGGGTGTTTTTTTTCCATGCTGGTTTACCATTATTTATACGTGTTTGTAGGAGCAGATGCAAACATGCAAAAATTCCCCCTGGAGCTGTGCCAGCAATTTACCCACAGAAGGGACTTGGATCCTGTGCTTGGGATTACCCCTGACCATCTTTGCTGTGCTGGTGCACAACCAGTCTGCTTTGGACTTTTCCCTCCGGGGATTTTGGAGAGGTTCCTCCTGCAAATGCATCTTCTTGGTGAGGGACCAGGCAGCCTGCGTTAGGCACAGCTTTCTGATTGTCCTGTCCAGGACAATCCTGCCTGGGAAGAAGGTCTCCAGCCACGCCGCTGAGTGGGACACTCTGAAGGGCTGGGACAAAGTCCGGTGTTGCTGATGCAATTGCAGCAGAACTGCAGGTTTTACGGAAGCAGCAGATATTTTAAATTCTGATATTTTAAATCTGATATTTTAAATAAAAATAAACAAATCTGAAATCTTAAATCCTGATATTTTAAATTCTGTCTCCATGTTTTCCACTTGCTAACACACTTTTTGTTATACATCTCTGTTCCTGGTTTGGTGCTGGGTCTATAAACCATCTAAACCCTCTCAAGCTTCAGAGGAGGTGGCTCAGAAATGAGCAGCTGGACCTGTGTTTTAGCAGAAACTCCAAATCAGGATCTGAGCATCCCATGTGTGGGAGAAGAGTGATTTGAATTTAGATGGCCGCTGTAGCATTTCTCTGACCTTGCAGCTGCCGTGCTTTAGGGCTTGGTATGGCTTCTGTCCTCTGCAGGGTGCAGTCCAGCCAGCACGAGGGCTATGAGGGAGGCTTTTCTGCTCTTCCCCAAAATGTTGTGTTACCCAGAGGGCTGCAGCTGTGGAAGACACGGACACCACAGCCCACACACTGGTGCAACAGGGCCAGCACCAGCATGTGTGAAAGCCAACCATGCTGCAGCCCATAAAGCAGAGAAGATCTGGGAGGAGGAGATGGAGAGGGAAGAGACCTTGCAGATGAAAAGGATGGAGCTGCCCGGGGAAAACAGAGAAGGAAAGCACAGTGTGCTTCTCTGTGCTGGCCGCACCCAGGATGTGACTGTTCATCTGCAGCTACAGCAGCAGAAAGTGTTTTGAGCTTGAGCTGTGAGGTTCCTTTGCCCCAGTCCACCCAGCCTGCATCCTGCCGCAGCATCTCCCAGATGCTTAGACAGGTGTGGGCAGCAGGGCATGAAGAAATCTTTATATCTTCTTGTTTTAATATGAGATTACAAGCCATGCAAACATGTATTCATCTCTAACCCAGGAAATGCTTGTATACACAAACACACATACATAGACGCGTGTATTTACACACAAGCACCTCTTCGCCATGCAGAAACCTGGTGCTTCATCCTACTGAACCCACAATTTCTCCTAAAAGAGCTGTGGCTGTGATCCAGGCTCTAGTTGCTTTGTTGTTGGAGGCATCCACGCTCATCCTGTCCCCTCCATTAACTGTCTGGCTGTGGGGCTGCCACTCAGTTTTATCCCACAGCTTTTACAGGCTCCCCCAGCAAAACTCCCCATTTCGTGAGGAAAGTCCTTCCTCAGGCCTCTCATCCACCAACGCAAAAAGGTGACCACAGAGGACTTTGGCACCTCTCCTTGCCCGAAGCACTGGTTCTGGGGAAGGGCCACGTGTCTGGGCTGAAGGAGATGGAGTCCCAGTTTCCACCAGCCAGGGTCAAGCCACTCTTCCTGATACTGCCAGCTGGGCATACTGGTTTAGCTGGGTTTTCCACATTCTTCTACCTATCACGGGTTCCCCTGGTGAAGTAGCTCTGCTTCTGCCCTGGGAAGTGAGTGGGAGGCAGCGTGGAGAGTTGGGGCTTCTCAAAAAATCCCATGCCCACCCAGATGGTGGCACCCAGGTCTTGGTGCCTGAGGTGAATGGAGGTGCTGCTCCCGCCCCTCATCGCAGCACAGTTCGGGGCACCATCCTGGCTGAAAAACAACCTTGCAGCCTGCCAAATTTTGCATGGTTTTACTGGCAATGAAACATAAACCCTTGGTTGCACCTACGGGCTGACTAAAAGCCGTGACAGATGATGCTGTAATCCAAATGTCACTGCAGCTGTAACCCTACACCGAGTGACTGGGGCGGCGGGTCTCATGACTATTGTCGTATTTTTGGAGCTGCACTTCACCCGGAGATAAGGCTCCCTTTTGCAGCTCCCTTCCCACCAAGATTATTGCCGTGTGTGCCTGGTCTCCATCCTGGGACACCCTGGGACATGGGATGGAGCAGCTCTTGTGCTGCTGGGCCTGGTGGGGCCCTCTCCCAGAAGCTGTTCTGTGGACAGCAGTGCCCACAGTGGTTTCAAGTTATCTTAAAACCACTTGGCAGATCATTTTCTTTCTCTGTGGCACTGATGTAGAAAAGCTGAGCTCTTCTTTTCAGGTTTAAAATATTCCTGAAGTTTAGGGAGAGCCCAGACATGGAAAAATCAACCTGGGGAGTTCTACCGAGTCAGCGAGGCCTTCTCTTAAGACACCTCTGGAGGCACCCGCAATGGACTCCACAGGGTTTTGTTCTGCTTTTATCGGATCGATATCAGCCAGCCCTTCAGGTGGTTGCCTGATTGTTATTTTATTACAGTTGTCTGTGGAAGACCTGGCCCTCTGTTAAGAGGAAGACGCTTTCAGCTTGGTCAAGGGCAGATGAGGCCTCTGAGAGCCTCATCGGATGCCGGCGGTGGGTCGGGTGCGCAGGCCGGCCCCTCGGGCCGCAGACAGATTCCTCCCATTTGCTCGCAGAGCACTTTACATTATCCTGGTGTATTTTAAGGCCAGGTCAGCGTAAAGTGGCTTTTGTATTACCGAGTATCAGACCCAGCGATTTTATAACTCCACTTATTGCAATCCTCATAATCAGCTTGAAGGCTCTAATTAGCTGCAGCAATGACTCAGCCTTGTCGACAAACCTTGAAGGTGAAGGGCAACATGCTAGGGCTGCTCTCTTACTAGGGAAAGACAGAGATATATCATGGTTTTTTTTAGGGAAGAGACAAGCAGTTAAAAAATTTACCCTGTCCCAGGTTTCATTGGCAATGCGCTGACTGCATCTTATTTATTTTTTAAGCCATCCGATGTATTCAGAAGCCAGATCCGCCTCTATTCTCACCTGATCAGAAGTCTCCCTAAATCAGCTTTAAAAGATCCAATTGCCAAGTGGCGCAGCTTCCCAGATGCCATCTGTTTGACCTCAGTAGAAGGTGAACAGCAGAAAGGAGGAAGTTCTTAAAAACTAAAATGGTCATGCAAGCTCACACAGGAACGGGAATGTTGGGAGTTGCCCAGGGAAAGGATGAGAAGCTGATAAAGCAAAGCAAAGTCCACAAGGTGTGGGATCCTTGCACATACCTGCAGCTCCTTGCCACCTGCGAGCAGCTGATGTGGTAAGGTGTGACCGTGACATACACCAGCTGGAGCCGAGCCACCTTTGCATTGCCACCAGGCTGGAGGGCAGGACAAGCTGGCACCGGGCTGGAACGATGCAGTGAAGGCTGGTGGCATATGGAGGCAAAACCAGCACATCCTGTGGAGGCACAGCATCTGCCAGCCTAACCTCTCACATGGTCACGCCAGCTTCCTGATCTTCATTTTTTTCAGTCTATTTTCCTTCACGAGATAAATTATATATTTTTTTTCCCTCTACTTTTTTCGCCCCATGCTTCCCAGAGAAGCAGAATGGCAAGCCCTGCCTCAACGCCCAGTGTGGCAATGCAAGCACAAGGGATGGCAATGGTTATGGGTGGTTTGGTCACCCTCACTGCCCATCCAGAGCACTTCCAGCCGCTGCCTGACCCAGCACCAGGTCACATCTGCGTGGCTCACAGCCACAGCAGTGCTGTCCCCTCACCGCTGACACGGGAACGTGGCCCAGCACGTCCACCGCAGCACTACACCACCACAGCACTACATCAACTTGTTGCTTTCTTTCTTGGAGGCTTCCAGCTGGCAAACCCTTCTGTTTGCTGTTCCTAAGGAGTCGGTTTCCAGGGTTTTCACTGAAAGCTGCAGGATTTGGCTCCTGCATGCAGTCTGCGTTCAGGGAATGCTTTGAGTTTCTCCACCACTAGACCAAAACTTCTGCCAAAGCCTCTTCCCTGAAGCAGAGAACCTCATGTTGCCCTTGATAAGTTTGTAAAACATCTCTGACTATTTCTGGATTTCTCCAGAAAAATTATGTAGCAGTTACGTTTCACCACATAATAGAAACTGGAAAAAATGAAAAGTGCTTCCAGACAGATCGGGTGAGGTTGAGGTGGGATGACTGGCTTTGAAGGACCCACTTTGCTACGATCAGGACCCAACTGCAGAATAACAAATGCTATTGCTGGGGATGCTGATGGAGCACAACACAGCTCAGCACACCACATTGTACACTCCCAGTAGCAAGTACAGCCCAAGGCAGCTGCGAGGAGCCTGGAGATGACCCCGGGTGTCCTTTCCTTCAGCAGCTTTAGCTGTCTCGCTGCCAGGTGCTGAGGTGGTACTTCAGGCTGCCCACTGGCCCCACGTTGCCCAGCAGTCACACGCTTGCAGACCTGCTTTCCAATCCTCCCCTACATTTTTTTTCCCCTTGATAAGGGGCTTTTCGGGGTGAGGAAGGGCTTGTTGTGTGCCTGCCCTAGTAGCAACACAACCTGCACTGAGGATTTTAGCAGCCCCACACTAATAACATTGTACCAGGGACAGAAAGGTTTTGCATCACGTTTGTGACCTTTCGTTCCCAGATTTGGGCCATGGCGATGCGGCTGGCTTTGGAGAGGCTGCTGGGTGTGCTTTCAGTAGGAGAGGAGGAAGGGATGGACCTGCCCGGGAGAGGCTCCCCCGCCATGGAGGACGAGGAGTGGAGCACAGACCTAATTTGCGCCTGGCTGGGTTTTAGCATCTCTTACTCACGCACTACGTTAGGCAGCAAATCACTTGGGAGTGCTGCAGAAAACCGAAACATATGTGCACCGGGACTGTCCGCCTCTGCAGAAGAAAACATTGTCGTGCGGGAAATTGTTGAGTAATGGGGAAAATATGCCATTGCTCCTCTCCAAGCCTCCTCCCAGGACATGACACCTCTCAGCAAATGGGGTGCTGACACAGCCCCCTCCCTTGCTGCCCAGAAAAACATGGGAAGGACTCAAAAGCTTTGGAGTCACTATTTCTGGTCAGAAAAAAAGAAGATCCCTTCTCTGGAGAGATACTGTGATACCTTCTCAAGAAGGTTCAAGGTGCAACCATGGCTCGCTCTCCCCTACTTTTGCTGGAGATCTCCTGTATGGCTTTGGTGGGGAGAACAGCCCCCCTCTGTGATGTAGGGTTGCTTGCTGGTCTCATTGCAGCCCTCTCCTCCCCTCGTGCTGTGTCCTACAGCCACCACCTGGCTCCAGAGGAGGGACCACCGTGGTCCTCAGGACCTCACCAAAAGTGCGAGCAATCCAACAGTTAAGCCTCTCCTTGAAAAACTGCCAAAACAGTAAATGTGATTTGTATTCCACAGACAGATTTAGAATCCAACAGCAAAGGAACGGCTCTGGGACAATGTGTGTTGCCACCAGCAAAGCCCGAGCAATGGTAACATGTCATTAAAACAGATTTGAGACTCTGCGTTTGGCACCAAAAGGAGATACAAGGGAAGTTGCATGTGTCACTACATGTACTGTGAGCACTAGAAATAAATTGTTTTCTGGCATTTCATTTAGCTTCTTTGTGAATATTTAGTACTGTGAAGAAAACCAAAAGCCAGGGTTCCAGCTGAAGCCTTTTGTTCCTCTGTAACTAAGAAAGGGAAGAAAACATGGCATTAATTAAAGAGGATTTACTAAGCGGTCTTCCTAGTGATACAAGCTTGTTTCAGCTGAGATGAAGCATGTGTGAGCAGGGAAGTCTGTTGTGGGGCAGAAGAGAAGCAAAAGGATGAAACCCGCCGAGTTCCCTCAGAGAATGGGGAAAGGAGCGGTGCAGGCTTTGCGGGGAGTTACTGTGCTGGGGAAAAACACAGTGCAGTTTCCAACCACAAAAATTGTGAAGACAGAAATGGAAACGACACATGTTGTGGTGGTTTTGGGGGTTCTGGGAGGCTCACCTGGAGATCACAAACTTGGCTGAAACTCTGAGACACGGAAGAGATGAGAAACATGCTCCCTCGTAGCAATAAAGATACTATCTTCTCCTTTCTGCCACAGACTTCAACGTGCCCCAAACTAGCAGAACTAAAACCAAAAGCGCTAAGTCAGTGATGACAAACACTTCGCTTGAAACGGCTTGGCAGCTGACACTTCTTGCCTTCCTCCTACATCTCCTGAAATATAAGTACCCAAAGGGACACTGGGGACCCAGAGAGACCAAACAACATTTGCAGGTTTCTCCTTACCGTGAGAGGAGGCAGTTGGAAGGGGCAGGACATCCTCAGCGAGTTGGGGCTCCAGGCTTGTTGAGGCCTTTGTTGGCTTTTGTTCCAGTAAGAGTCTGCCAAATCTCACTGGGGATGCCTCATTCCTCTACTGTGAAATTGCTGCAGAACGACCTCACGCAGGCAGCAGTCACACCACACTTTACATCTCCCAGAAGAAGCCGTGGGGTGGCACTGGGCTGTTGGGAAGCCCCATGTTGCTGGGGAAGCTTTGGGAAGCAGCAGCAGCTTTGGCTGTGGCCCTTTGTGGGATCTTCCTCACCCTCTCACAGTGACACTATTCAAAAGCAACCAGCGGGTCCAGTGGTGTGTCCCAGTTTCTCAGGTGGCTCCTCAAGGCAGGACCGAGGACACGGCACAGGACACATGACGTGGAACAACTGGGAGACGTCCCAGCTCCAGAGGCCTTCACCAGCCTCTGTTCTCCTGCAGATCTATGACTCGTGGAGAAAAACCCACAGTCTACTGGTGGAGAAACCAGAGAAGTGCTAATCCTTTAATCTTGTTCTTAACCAGTCCGTGTGCTGTTTTACTGCCAGGTTCACCATGCTCCAATGAATCCCTTGTCTTTCTGCAGGTACATTTAGTTTCTAATTACTTGCCAGTCAAATGTCTACTCAAGCTCTGCTTGGCCAGGTGGAGCAAGAGAGGCCTGAGTAACCCTCTCTTCCTCACCTCTGGCGGTCTGTCAGCCACCAAAATCCTCCTGAGATGATTAACCAGACCCACAGGAGGAGTCGCCACCTGGGCTAGGTCTTCAACCACCAAACGGGCCCGTGGTTTGTCAGGTCAGCACAGAAACTTCTGCAATGAAGCGATGCCAACACCTGATGACATCTTTGTGTCTCCGTAGGATCACTACAAGACTACCTTGGTTTTGGGTGGCCTTTGGTGGCCTCAGCTGGCCTAGGAGCTCATTTATCTCACTCCATGGGGCCTCTTTCTGCTGCTGAAAGATCCTTCAAGGGATGGGACCTGGAAACTTGGCCACAAGCAGCGTGATCCTGATTCCTCTGTGCTCCACAGCCACTCCATGGCAACTTGAAAGATCATTAATGACCTTCACCCCTCTCCCAACCAACTTTTGTTGTTGTTGTTGTTGTTGCTATTTCATTTTGTTTTGCCTTTTTTCTTGTTTCTTAGCTACCCTTCAAGGGAGAACAAACCCCTTTTCCAACCCTCCCCTTTGGACATCTCTGCTGTGGGGAAGTGGTTAGGGCTTCATAAAAATGGCATCGGGTGGTTCTTCATTAGATGAGCGTTGTGCCTTGCAGACAAGGCTGTGAGGACAAGGCTCATCACATTTTGGATGCGCTGTATTGCCCCACAGGTGTCATGCTGAGCCTCGAGGGCTGTGAGCCCAATCTGGTGGACACACAGATGTTTAGGTGGGCACACAGACACATAGGTGGACACACACAATTTGGGGAAATGGAGCCCATTTCAAGCAAGTAGCAAAATGGGGAATGCTCTGACCCCGTGACAAGCTTTTTCCCTCCCACCTTCCACAACTTGGCTTCAAGTATTGAAAGGAGAAGCTGTATGCCAAGAATTTTTAAGGCCGTGTCCAGCAGAGCGAGCCAGCACCTGATTTGCCCTTAATTATAGTGGTGAGAACGGGGCGGGGGACAAATGGGAAAGGGTGAGGAGCAGGTGATGACGAGGACAGGACTCGTCTGTCGTGTGCCAGAGGCCGTGCCTCAGCCAGCACCACACGGGCTGCTTGTGTGCCTGTGTGCTGCTGGGCATTGTGAGGGGAGCATGAGGGGAGCGGGGTAAAAACGGGGTAAAAACAATCACCAAATTACACCAGAGGTTTTGTTGAGCTCCTGTTTGTGTGTGACATGGCAGCAGCCCCAGGGGGTCCCCACGACCGCCTCCAGAGCTGTTTCTGTGAGGGGACATGGGCGCCTGGAGCTGCTGGCAGGGGGCCTTGCGTTGGTGTGAAAAATGGGAGAAAAAGGGTGTTTATAGGAAACGGACATGGGGGGGGGGAGCAGAAAGGCTGTGCGTTGTGTGCAAATGGGAGGAGGTGAGTGGACTGAGGCGTGTGCTTGATTTACACAGTTCCATGGGGGAAAAAAAAAAAAGTAATAATAATAATAATTAAAAAATAATAAAAATAATAAAATAAAAATAAAAAATAACAAAATAATACAAAATAAAAATAATAAAATATAAAAAATAAATAAAAATTAATAAAATTAAAAATAAATAATGATAATAAAAATAAAAATATTAAAAATAATAAAAATAAATAAATAATAATATAAAAATAAAAATAATAAAAATAAATAATAAAAATAATAAAAATAATAAAAATCTGCACTTGGGCAGCAGGGCGGGAAGAGCATTTGGGGGTGCCGGGGACCCCTCCGCCTCACGCTGCACCCCCCTTGCTTAGAGCCCAGCAGCCCCGAGTTGCAGCAGAGAGGCACAGCCCCACTTCCCCCTCAAAACTGCCCAAAATCGGGGTTCCCCCCTCAAAAAAAAAACCTCCCCCCCCCCCCCCCCTTTTCCCGCGCATGCTCGCCCCCGCGGGGCCCGCCGGGAAGAGCCCGCCCCCTCCCCCGGCTCCCCCCGCCCCCCGCCGCGCCGCAGCGCCCAGGTGGGTCCGGCGGGGCCGCGGCCATGGCGGCCGCTCGCGCCGGGAGGGGGCGGGGCCGAGCGCCCGCTCCTGAGGGGAGGGAAAATGGCGGGGGGGCGGGAAAGGGAGGGGGGAGGCTGAGGCGGGAGGGGGGGGGGCGGGGGGGAGAAGGGAAAATGGCGGCCGCGGGGGGCTCGGCCGTGCCCTGCCCGACCCGGGCCGTGCAGGGAGCGGGGAGGAGCCCGGTGGGAGCCCCGCGGAGGCGGGAGGCTCGGCCCGGGGGAGGGTTAGGGGGAAAGGGGTGGTGAATGCCGGCGCGCTGCTGGGTCCGCCTCTGCCACTGATGAAATTTAAATTGCTCGGGGCGAGCACGGGGCTGCGCCGGGCTCGGGAGGCTGCTCCCGGAGGGGACGGGGCCGCTGCTTTCCTCCTTCCCTCCCTCCCTGCCCTCCTATCCCGGCCGGGTGCGCTGTTTCTCCCTGCTCTCGCCTTCACCGAGGAGCGAAGATGTCGTTCGCCAAAGGTAGGCTGGCTGCTCCGCCGCAGGGACCTCGCTCCGCACCCGTTTGGTTTTATTTCAGTTATTTCGCCGTGCCGCCTCCTTTCCTCTCCTCAGCAGCAGGCTGTGAGGCGCGCCAGGCTTTCCCCCGGCAGGTGACGGGGCCCGTCCCGTGGACGTGGCCGTGTCCGTCTGCTCTGCCACGCAGCACCCCGACAGCCCCTCACCACACATGCAGGGGCTCCCCCCCTTGCCTCTCCCCATCTGCCCAAGTTTTTTGGAGGTCTGAGTGTGTTTTGGCATTTGCCAGCCCCCGCCGTAGGCTCCGGCACGCTGCCCTGTGAGCGTCTCGCCCGGTCTTGAGTTGGGAATCATACATTGGGAAACAGGGAACCGACCCGCCAGGGTCATTTCAGGAAGAAAAATTACTTTGGTGCATTGCTGTGGCACTTCTCCCCCCTCCCTCCCCTCCGTTCTGGTGATCCTAGTGGTGCGTGTGTGGTTTTCTGTTGCGGGTTTTGTGCCTGTAGGTTTTCTTGGTGTAAATCCGCTCAGGCCTGTCACCGCCTGTAGAAATAAAGAGTGGGCAATAGGAGGTCTTTTGCTGTGTGAACTTGGGTCCTGTGGGGATCTGAGAGCTTCTGCAGGCTTTGGGAAATCAGCCGCTTGCCCAGTGGATGCCCAGGAGCGTGCAACACTTGCCGGGTAAGTGCAGTGACACTTTGTGAATGTCCTGTGACAGCCGGGTGAAACGCACAGCACCGCTCGGGGAAGCGCTGAAGCCACGCTGCTCACCTGGCGTCCTGAAAGTTGTCGAGACAAGCCCCTTCTTGCTGTGAAACGAGTGACAAAAATAGGCTCCGAAGCCTTCTTTTTAAGCGGAATTGGCTTATCTCAGCCTTCTGCTGGAGGTAGCCATCTTGCAGGCAAGTGGTACTGTGTTAACCTACGTAAAGATCAAAGCCAGTTCTTAAAATATTACCGAGCTTTTGACAACACTGGAAGCTTTTTTAAAGAGTACTTTTACTAGGCTGATAGCACCAAAACATGTTACTGATGTCAGGTGGTATTTTTAGCAGGAGGATCAGCCTCTAGACCCAGAAATCGTGCCGGGTCTGAGCGGTAACATCGCAGCCCTTGGTGTATGCGGCTGGCCAGGACGGCGGCCTGGGTTGCAAACTTCTGAGCGAGCTCAGGATAACACGTTTCTCCGTGATGGGGAGACAGTGGCGAGGTTTCACTTCGTGTGTGCTTCGGTGCCATGTGTGTTGACAAATTTTGCCTGTAGCGGTAGGGAGAAAGAAGTTTGCAAATGATTCTTGGGTATGTTGAGTTCTCAAAAGTCAAGCGAAGTAATAGTTCTCAGTTTTGCGTTGGGCAGTGTGGACGTCTGTGAAGTTCTTATCCCTGTCAAGGATAAAAATTGCCTTGAACTTTCCAGCGGAGTCGGTGGAAGTTAAGGCATTCACTCTGTACCCTCAGCCCCGAGTTCAAGGATAGAGCATTTAAAGTTCAGCTGCGTGTTTCAACTTACGGGCCAACCTTCCGGATTTTTATGCAAGTAGTCTGGCTCCGAGGAAATAGAAATAATTTTCTGGTGCAGCTCTTTCTGTGTGCTTACTTGGATTGCGGTGCTAATTACAATTCTCAGCCCAAAGGATCCCGACATTTTCATGAGAGGACTTCTTGCTTGGCTTGTCCCGTGACTGCTTCCTGTGCCGTGACCCCGTATGCTATGTACTAAGGCAGTGAGTTCTCTTCTGAGTGAGTTAATGAGCTCTTAGGGCAACAAAACTGAGCTTTGTGTGTTCCCTCTTTTAATGTAAAATAAAAGGAGGGACAGCAGAAAGGAAATACGCTGCTGTTCTCTCCGTGTGCAGTTGGGGAAGCCTGGCCCTCATTTTATTTCCCATGGTTCGTGACGATCTCCTCTTTAGTAATTTGATCTGATTTATCGTATATTGTTTGTTTCCCAAGTGTCAGTTATAAAATCCTGCATCATAAACCTAAAAATACTGTGCTCTTTACCATAGTTCACGGTGTGAGGACAGTGGCAGTCTAACAGGGAGATAAGAGCAAAGTAGAAATAAAGGTGGGGACAGTACTGTTTGAGGGAAACTCTCCACCGGTGACTTGACTAAAGGTCTTTCTCTACAACTTGACGGAGCATTTTCTGCTGAAGGCATTAAAAGAAGGTGTCCTGGGTTGTCATTTTTCTTGAAAACCCGGTGTTTTCTGGAGCCCCAACTGTTTCATCACCGTTTCTGTTCTGCACTCATTCCTGCGTGGGCCCATCCCTTGTGAGTCTTCCGCTGCCATATCCCACCCCTTTCTTCCTTCAGAGGGGAGCTGAAGAACAGCGATCCAGTAAAAGTGAGCTTCAGCTGCAATCTGAGGCAGTGGTTGCAGTGTGGCTTGGAAGAGGCATTTCTTTTTTAAAGGTAATTTGGAAGCTCAGGGCAGCGTGTCCCCTGGGAAGTCTCTTCCTGCACAGCACCCCTGCCTCCCGTCTGGTTTTACAGAGGTGCAATAACTACTTTTCACTGCAGCCTTAGGAAATTCGCCTTGCCTGTAGGAAATAACTGCCCTTAGAAATGCAGTTGCACTGGCTTTTCTACTTCGTTGCCATTATGGTGAAGAGGGAAATAAACGTTAACCCGGGCTGTTAAATTTAACAGCAGCGCACGCTGAAGGACAGCAGCCATCCTCCTGCCATCGCTAGGCTGGAGGACAGAAACACCAGCTTCTTCCCCAAACCCTGGAGGGGTTTTCCTTAGGGAGGAAATCCCAGCAGGAAGGCTGCTGCTGAGCTCCTCAACGTTGGGTACAGCACTGAAATTCTTCGCCCTGCACAACAGATCCCTCCCTGCACCCGTAATACTTGGGTCAGAGGCGTGTTTTTGTGGACTCCAGCTGTGCCAGCTCTCTCATTCCTCTTTCCCCCAGATGATCCCAGTACGGGCAGCACCAGCAGTGCTCTCCCCAGGCACCCACATCCTGGTGGGCTGGGTGAGACCAGTGGTGGCCACCAAATGGTGGCCAGGAGGCTGCGGAGTGGTGGCTCTGGGCACGGACCATCGGGCTGCTGCTCTGCACGCCTTCAGCGTTTGCTCATGAAGCCCTGGAGAATGCGTTATCACGTGTTTACTTTGAATCTGCCTTATCCTTTTGGTTTGCTTCTGATATTGCTTAATCTCTCAATGTCTTTTTTTTTTTTATCAGGGAGATCCACGTCTTTTGGCCATCGTGAGCCAACAGGATCTTCCTGCTTACATGGCAGCCCGGGACGGCTGTTTGCTGGCTCTTCCTTAACAAATGACAGCCTCTGTTGAATACTTGGTATTTGCAGAGTTTCTGCTGGGCTGCGTTGCATCATATCGGGAGGTTCAGCATGTTTTACAGGCTGATGAGCTGCAAGAAATGGTTGCTGCTGTTGCTGTAACCCCAGCCCTGTGTTACAACTCCTTGTAGGGAGGATTACAAACAAACAGCTGGAAGTATCTTGTAGCTGTTGTCGTCCCGGAAGTTTAAACACTGTTTCCATGTGCATCAACTCCAAATGAGGGAAGGAAAGCTCAGCAGTTCTGGGTGAAACTATTCAGGTGGTAGAGATCTTATGTTCCTTTCTGTAGGAGGAAGTACTTTCAGTGAAGAGCTCTTGTGTTTTTACTTATTTCACCTGGAAAGATAAGCCTAACGTGCCTCCAACTGTTAACCTGTTTTTACTACCAAGTGAAGCACACAATGAAAAAATGAACCTATTGTTAATTGTGCTATTCATCTTGTGCTGGCGTTTCCCCTGTGTTACAGCACGGTGTGTGCACTGCAGCACTTGCCTCTCTATCTCCTTTTTTTTTTTTTTTTTCCTTCCCTACCTGCAAAACAGTGCAGTCAGGAAAATGGCTTCTGTGGGCTTCAAAGCAAGGGCTTGACACTGTGACCGAGTCCGGGGAGTGTTTTGCTTAAAAATACAATCAAAACTGTAATGCAAACGAACTGCCCCTGGCTTTCCGAGGCATTCTCGATAGAATAGCCTTTTAATGCATGTCCCAAATAAGAAAACTTTAACCAAGGCTGCCTCTTCTGTTTCCTGGGACTATCAGTTCACTTGCAAAGTTTTTTCCTGCCCCTTTTTTGTACTAGTTTCAGGGTGTTTCTAACATTCCAGCTATATTTGGCAATGCATCATTCTCCGTGTTATAGAGAAGCGATTACTCAAGGGATTTGGCAGAAATTAAATTAACCGAGGTCTTTAGAGAACATACTCGGAATGTCTTTAGGGAAGGCACTCAGTTTGCGTGTTTTCTTCTGGAAAATAAAGTCAAGCTATCTTCCATTCCTTCCTGTGCAGTGCTTTGACTGTGGGCTTCACTGCATGGACCGTTTGTGTATTTACTCTTTCACATCCATGGAGCTTATCACTTTCAGAAGCAAAACAAATGCTGAAGTGATGGACGGACTATTTTTCCAGGTTGCTTAGTAACTGAAGGGCATGCTGTAGTGTGAAAATACTCATACGATAAAGTAAGGGAATATTTGCTGGAACAAACGGAAGACTGTGAAAATGCACAGCATAAATAATTAAAACGTGTTTTTATTTGCTTCTGTGAATGGAAGGATGCCCTCGATCACAATGTTCTGCATACAGTATTTTTTTAGTGAATGGCTTTTTTGCGCTTTTACTTGCTAAAGTAAAAGTTGATGTTGTAGGACACGAACACTTTAGCTGCCTAGCAAAAAATAAGTGTGCTGCTGTGGATTTGGAACGTTTCTTGTGACGGATCATTGATCTTCCGGAACTTTTTAGAGTTTTGAGAGAAGGTTGGCTGTTTTTTGCACCCAATTTAAGATCTGTTCTCCAAGTTACTAGGAGCAAAATCTCTAGGTTCCTGGAGTGCTTGCACAGTAATAAAACAAGACTGGATTACATGATTTTTTTTCCCCCAAAGAAATCTGAAAGCTGTCTACGGTTTAAATAAGCTAGTTTTTTTTCTTTTTTTTCCCCTTTAACCTTTTTTTTTTTCCTTTTAATTTAAGATTTCAGCAAAGCCATGTCTCAGGCTGGCCCCTCACAGTTTCAGGAAGTCATTCGGCAAGAGCTGGAGTATTCAATGAAGGTAGAACTTGATAAGATACTTGCAACCGCACCTTCAAATGAGCTGGAGGTAAGAAGTGTGATGTGAATGCAACTCAAAGCCTGAGAAGGTAGAGATTTTATACAAAGGGACAAATCACAGAATATTGCTATCCTTATTTTTAAGATGTGCTTGGGTCATGTGTGGAAGAGTAGCCTGGATACAGTGTCAGTAGGAGACTTTGAGTTGCATGCAAACTGCACGACAGAGTTATTACTAAGTGTTTAATCATCTTTAGTTATTAAAGGTTCTATATAATCTGTAATGGATTACAGAAAGAGAGGGTAAAGCTGTTACTCTAAAGATTTGGCCAAATTCTTGTGGTTATAGTTTTGAATAAAGACTTGCCTTTTAGGTATCCAAGGTGTTGGATGTCTTTGTTTTTGTTTTTCTTTTTTTTTTTTTTTTTTTTGGCCCTCCCACTCCCATTTTTAGTTTTAGTGAGAATGAGCTTTTGGCACCTTTTGGAATTTAAAATTTTATCATGTCTGTACTTCACGAGCTGACAAACTTGCTCTCGTGAATGTGTTTGTATGTCAAGTTTGTAAAAATGCGTCCATGATAGGGTAGGTACACAATAAATACCAGTATTAATGAATATTACTTCTTCTCTGTAGCACACCAAAAATGACCTGGAAGGATTTAAGAAGTTGTTTCATAGATTCCTACAAGAAAAGGGACCATCTGTGGACTGGGGGAAGATTCAAAGACCACCAGAAGATTCTGTAAGTTGCAATGGAGATGCTGTCAGTAGGGGACATAAAGCTATATACCATGGAATAGGTGTAACTGCCACGGGTCTGTAAAATCACGTAGGACAACACTTCGGGCTCTAGCTGAGAAGTAATAATTTACAGACATATGCTGTGTGTGTTCCTGAACATCAGGTCCTGCTTAACATATGCATCAAGTTCTGCAGTGTTATTTTGTTAGCTGTTCTCTGAGCAGGGGAGCAAAGTGGGACAGATGCCATCTTACCATTTGGTACCTTCTCTGGAGTGACTGGTAACTTTTGTTAGAGGGGAAGTAGGTAGGACTCTTGTTGTTCCCCTTTCCTTCCTGCCCATGACAGAAGGTCGCGCGTCTCAGTTGAGACTGTTTCCAACAATCCATTCTGCTAAATAATTCGAAAGGGACATATGGCAAGTGGGCTGGGTTATATAGCTCACTTAGCAACTTCTGTAAGCTACAGCAGCACTGCAAAAGTGAGGAATCTGAAACTTGTAGCTGACTTGAAGGTTTTTGAGCATCGTTTTCTAATGCCATCTCTGGTGTTGTAACTTACAACCTGCTACTTGAGATGTTGCTGAAAAAGCACTAAACATTTTTTTTTTTTTCAGCAATATTTAGTACTGAAATAAACAATTCCTGTTAAACCTAACCTCATTTGGTTGATTCATCTGCAGCCCGAGGCTGTCCTTGGACTCTTGCGTAACTAACGGTGTAGCTGTGCTACGAATTCTTGCTTTTCCCAGTGCCGTAATCTTGGCATATCCTGAGACTTCCTTACACATTTGTGGTCTCTCTTCGCCTCTGTGGAGATTCAATCAAGGCTCTGTTTGCAACTGAAAGACAGGCTGGCCAGTTACTTCCAGAACAGATGCAGCGCTGCTTTCTAAAGCGTTGATGAATGATGCTGTTTTAGAGCAAGTATAGGGCTTTTTCCAAGGTTGAGTGTTTTCTTTTAACTTCAAAAACATGTGATGTCTGTCTCTTCTGTACTGTAACACTGAACAAACTGTTGCTTTGGGGAGAAAAATCCACCTTGAGGAAAGAGGCCAAGGTGAGAAGTTAGAGTTCTAGATAACCTTTTATAAGGAAGCCTGCAGAAAAGGGGGCTGCTTTTAGTCTAGAGAGGGGTGAGGCTCTAGGGGAGTGATAACTTTTGAATATGTAAAAAGGTAGCTGCAACAATCAATGAACGGAATAAACTGTTCTGTGTCAAGATAAAGCCTGGGATTAAATTACAGTAATTTGATGCAAGTGAATAGGCTGCTTTGTGGAGAGGGAGAGCTATTGTCTGTCCAGTTTGAAAGTTTTGCACACTTTCAGTGGGGAAAAAAATCAGGTTCTACAAGGGACTGAAAATTACTGGGCAGGACATTGGTAGCAAATGTCAAACAGGAGGCATGAGAACACTGAAATAGGTTGTTGGAGATGCCCACGCAAGGCAAGCTGTTTAAAAAGAAGGCCTAACTTAAGATCACAAAGGGCTGAAAGGAGGGCAAGTTTAGAGTTGGTATCTCTCTTCTTCCTTCTGGCCTGTGCTGGCTCATCCTCATCTGTGTCCCTTAGCTAGGAAGCAACTTCTGATCAAAAACAGTGAAAAAAGATGCAGCATCCTGTTGCTTTGGCTCAGGTGAGATGTGTGCATGTTCTTAGATGAGACTGTGCTTCCTAGCATGAACTCCAAATCACACGGGGTCACAGAAGATGTCACAGAAAAAAGATAGGGAAAAATACCCTCAAACAAGTTTCCTTTCCATGCTGCCTTCACTTTGAAATAAAGATCTCTTGCTTTCCTGATCTGACTGGAGGTGGGTTGAGTGCTCTCAAAATTGAAAGTATTCTTAATTTTCTTGATTTTTTTTTTATTTATTATTATTTCCCACCCCCCCACACCTGCAAGGGTTTCATTTCCCTATCCTCAAAACCTTCTTGTGTTTATCCCAGATCTACCACCTGTATGATACATGTCATGTTGGGGCTGTTGGAAGTGAAAGGTGTCCTACATGAAAGTGTTTTCAGGTGACCTGCAGAGAAACGTCTTCCAAATTATTCTTTGCTGAGAGATATGACTTGTGGAATTATTCAATAAATCTTGATTTCTTTACAACCAGAGCTATCAGTCTTACTAGTAGATGAGAACAGTAGGAACTTTTAAAAGGGATGAAGAATGATAATTTTCAGAAGTGCTTCAGAATCAAGTCTGCAGTCCTAACTTCTTTGGAACAGGTATCTGTGAAATATATGCAGATTGAGTGCTTTTATTCAGCTCTCACGGAGTTTTCATCCCCTAGCTATAAAAGCTTACAGTGCGCTCTCCTCCTGGTCCTGTGGGAACAGCACAGAGAATGTTATGGGCAAGACTCTTTTGGAAAGCTGGTTGGTAATCTTGTAGCTGGTTTATAATCGCCCATTTTGATGATATCATTTTATGAGGTGGGGGTATGGGGGGCAGTGAGGTTCTCATTTACTTTTGAGACTCTTGTGCTACAAGTAGCATGGCCTAGAAAGAAAGGACTTATAGTCCCCTGGGTTAATTGATTTGCCTGTGATTTTTCTGGGGAATTGGCTTGCTGCTTGATCTGCCCAAAGGATCAAGAATTCTGGCATGTGTAATCTTCAACTGCTAGCTGGTGAAGCTCAAAGTATGTGTTTAGGTACGTAGGTGCATGCGTGTATGTATATGCACATACACTTATCTATATACATACAGGTGTGCACGCACACGTGGCTGTATGTATAAGCACCCAAAAACGTGCCAAAGATTTTACCAGCTTAGAGTTATTGAATGGTTCACTGCATTTTTAGGCTCTGGCTTTTAGTTTTCTGTTTTGCATAAGGTTCTTCCGAATGTCAGGTTCAGTGGGAAAGGTGTTCCAGGCTTTTCTGCAATGCTGTGCTGCGCAGGAGGAGAATTTCTGATCAGACTTCCATGGGTCACTTAATGTTTTATCCATGGTACTTGTTCTTTGAATGCAGTTTTCTGTTCTTTTCTGAAGCATCTGCTGACAAGTAAAGACTCCTTTCAGTAAACCAAAATGTAATTGTGGTGTAATGTTCCCCCTTTTTCTATGCAATGGGAGATTTTATTCCTGAACTCCATACTTTAGTGTAGCAACTAATACCGATGGGCAAGCAAGCTGTAGGCTCCAGATGAAGATAACACAAGATTGAACCCATTTTGTGCTATATTGGTAAACTTCTGACTTGTTTTTTCCTTCCAGATGCTTTCCTTCTATATGTCCAAAGGCTTACAGTGATAGCTGGCATAGTTAGGACCCATTACTGTTACAGTCTTCAGAGAAGAAAGTGCACTTAGAGTGCTGGTTAACGAGGAGGAGACGAGGTAAAGAATGTGGACACGGCAAGTGTAATTTAATCTTGTTGATGTAGATTGCAGTGATCTGTTTGTTTGACTTGGAAGCAGTAACAAAGTCATGCTGGGAGGCCTCTGAGGGAACAGCAGTGAACAAGTTAACCTCAGAGCAGCAATGCAAAACCTCATCAGTGAGCTAAAGAGAGCATCCAAAGCACTTTGAGTGTGAAAGGAGCATGTCTATTATGATAATTTTTTTTTTTAAACCCAGTGCTTGGATTGTCTGCAGCTTGAGCTGTCACCTCAAAGAACTATATCATGAAGGAAAAGAAAGAAAAAAAAAAAAAAAAAAGGCATGCTTTTAATCAAAAATCAAATGTCTTCCTAACCCTCAAATCTGGAAGCAGGTTTTAAGGGTTCATTCGGTGCGTTTCTTTTTTAACTGTCCTTTGGTGCTGAGTAGATACTAGCTTGTTTTTCTGCAGCTACATATTGACTAATATGGGTGTATTCCTCTCCAGTCTACCCATGATGAGGGCCCAGATGCTCATTTTGTCTCTCTGGCAAACTGTTCCAAACATCCTTGCAGTAGGAGTATACTTCTGAGATCAGTCACACTCCCAATGTTGCCTCATACAGACTGTTCCAAAAATCACTTTGGTGACATTGTGTGCAAAACCAAATGAAGCTAGATGTTATCGTGGCAGAATCCCTGACCACAATTTCGAGATGTCTCAAATGACTAACACTGTAGTCATGCGCCTGTCATTCCTGCCCATTTTTGTTCCTGAAGTATTTCCCCATCAGCGCTCGCTTGTCAAGCCCAGTGTTCCAAACCCTTAGAGCAAGAAGTGATTTTTATTACTGGGGAGCACTTTCTGCTCTTGTGTATGTGCTTAGGAGGTGATGAGGCAGTTCCTCTGCGTGTTAGAGCCTACGTGTGACTGGAACAGCTAAATGGCAGTGCCGACACCTAGCAGGCCTGATGCTGCAGGGATCCTGCCTGAATTTCAATTCCCGACGTTTGTTTTTCTCTGAATTAAAGACCCTTCAAGATCCAGGGCTTCCTTGCCAAGTTGTCATTTCCAATACCTGTGCCAAAAGGAACTGAAATATTTAGCAAAGCTGAGTTACATATTTTGTGTTGGAGCTGATGCAACCACAAATGAAGTAAATGCATGACAGAGGCCTGGGCGGAACTGTTAACTGCATCAGGACTGGGTTTTTACTCTGAGCTTTCTGCTTAAGCTCATTTCAGACACGATACTGAAGACATAAAAGGGGGAGTTGGAACTTCAGCAAAGGAAAATAATTTTTGAGGCAGTCTGGCCCTGAACTGAGCAGCAGACTTTTTTCTTTTTGGAGAGCTGTACTGGGCATGATGCAAGAAGAAAGGAGTAAGACTTTAAAGGTGAAATCACGTTTTTGGCTTTTCAGACAGCATCTGAACGCTGCGGGTGTGACTCATGTCCCACCTGCTAAATGTTTAAATCCCCTGGCAGTCTAGTACGGGGTGGTATTGACCTTGGAGTACACAGGAGGTAGTGGCAGGGAGTGAGGATCAAGCTGCATTTCTCTTCTGAATGGTGCCCAGCGCCAAGTATAAATCTCTAGATCCTGTTTGTAGTGAATTGTTCTTTAAGCTTTCTGATGCACCTTCAGCACGTTAAATTTGAGGTTTAT